TACCCTTAATATATAATTAAATTTATAAAAATTATAAAATAAAAAATTAGTAAATATAACATTTCTCAATTTTTATATTAATCCTCTAAAAATTATAAAAGACATCAAGTTGATCATTTCAAAAAATTCAAAAAATAAATATTTTTTACTATAAAAAATTATTTAAAGAACTCACTTATAATTTTTTTATAATAAATTTCAGCATTTACACATATAATATTTCAAATCAAACTGTTTGAAAATACAATAATTTAGAGAAAGAATCAACAAGGAATCAATTTCAGACGAGGAATATTTGAGCGTTTTGTCATTGGCATTTGAAAAGGACTGCATAATACCTGGTCACAGCACACTCCCGTTATTTTCCTTTTTATATTCTATTATTGTTTCATTACTCTCTTTCTTTTTTATTTTTCCAAGTTTTGTTTTTTCACTTTGAATCATCGTCCTAAGTCCAACGTTATTCTTTTACATTTTGGTAAGTTAAACTTCCGACCAACAGTGACTGCACTTCTATGGTCTCCAACTCCGAAGGAAGGAAAGTAAGAAATTAAAAGGAAAAGAAATTTACTTTTCCTTCCACCAAACAAAGGAAAAAGTAAAAGTTAGTTAAAATCGATTTTTTTCAGTTAGATTCTCCCTCATTTTGATCTGCATACCCCTCATCCTGTGCTCCAAATCCTTCATTCGGTTCTGCAGATTGAAGCCACAAGTGAAGTTTCTCTCTCTCTCTCTCTAGCATCTTTCGTAGCCATTTTCCCTTTTTCAGGATATTTATTGTTTTATGCTGAACTGAAGAGAATAGAGTAGAAAAAAATAAATGCTTTTCCTTTCTTGGAAGCATAAAAATCTTCACATAGATTTTGTCAATGGGGATAAGCCCATTAATCATTTTTTTAATAGTTATATCAATTTACTAGAAAGATTTTAGTTTGAGATTGATTGTTCCGTTTCTTCTAAAAGGGGAACACAAAGGAAGGAAGGGAGAAAAAAAAAAAAGTATTTTTGCTTTCTGGGGTTGGAGTTTTTTGAGTTGAGGGTAGTGGAATGTGGCCAACGGGTAGAAGCTGCGTTTTTCTCTTTTGGTAAGGTCTACTCCTTTCCTTTGGCCCCAGTTTGTAAAGGTTTGATTTTGAAGAAGGAGAATATAGTGCTATAGTGGAGATCTGGGACTTGTTTCGTCTCTTATGCCCCATGAGGACTTTCTTCACTGCAGAATCATGTAAAAATGCACGCCCAAATGCTCTAAATCCACAGTCCTGGCTCCAAGTTGAAAGAGGGAAGCTTCCCAAATTGTCATCGCAGTCCTCATCTGCATCAATGTAAGTTTCTCTTTTCAACATTTTTAATTTGAAGCTTAACTTTTTTAGCCAATTCACTGAATTAAGTGGTTTGCTGTTAACTGCTATAGAGAATCTCTGATCAAGGTCCCAGAGCCACCTATACTCCCATTCTTTAAACCTGTTGATTATGTGGAAGTTTTAGCTCAAATCCATGAAGAACTTGAGTCATGTCCTCCACAGGAGCAGTCAAATCTGTTTTTGTTACAATACCAGGTTTTTAAGGGCCTTGGAGATGTTAAACTGATGCGGAGAAGCCTCCGGGCTGCTTGGCAGAAAGCGAAAACTGTTCATGAGAAGATCATATTTGGGGCGTGGTTGAAGTATGAGAAGCAAGGGGAAGAGCTAGTTTCTGACTTGCTCACGGCTTGTGGTAAATGTGAAAAGGAATTTGGGCCCATTGATGTAGAATCTCATATTCCTTTTGATATAAATGTAAGTTCCCAGGAGAGAGTTTTGATGAATGGGAACCACACTTCACAGTATGTTATTTTTATTGTTGGAAATGAGAAGATAATCTGTGATAGACAAAAGATTTCTGAACTTTCAGTACCATTTCATGCAATGCTAAAGGGATGTTTCAGTGAATCACTCTCTGAGACTATAGATTTGTCTGAAAACAATATCTCTCCTTCAGGTATGAGGGCAATAAGTTATTTCAGTATAACAGGCAGTTTACTTGAGGTCCCTCCAAATCTTCTGTTGGAGATATTAGCTTTTGCAAACAAGTATTGTTGTGAAAGACTAAAGAATGCTTGTGATAGAAGACTTGCATCCTTAGTTTCCTCCAAAGAAGATGCTGTGGAGCTCATGGAATATGCTCTTGATGAGAATTCAGCTGTCCTTGCAGCTTCTTGTTTACAAGTCCTTTTGCGTGATCTTCTCAACTGCTTGAGTGACAATCATGTGGTGGAGATATTTGTTCATGCTAATCGGCAGCAATTGGCAGTCATGGTTGGGTCAGGTTTATTTGCACTTTTCTGTTTCTTAAGTGAAGTTTCTATGAGCCTTAATTCTAGGTCTGATACAACAGTTCATTTCCTGGAACGGTTAGTTGATTTCGCTGAAAATGACAAGCAGAGACTGCTGGCTTTTCATCAATTGGGATGTGTAAGACTCTTAAGGAAAGAATATGATGAAGCCCATTGCCTTTTTGAGGGGGCTGTAAAAGCAGGTCATATTTATTCTGTTGCAGGGTTAGCTAGACTGAACTATATGAAGGGTGAGAAGCTTTTATCTTATGAGAAGATCAGCTCAGCCATTTCTTCTGTTACTCCACTTGGATGGATGTACCAGGAAAGATCACTATACTGTGACAATGATTTGAGGTGGAAAGACCTTGAGAAAGCAACTGAACTGGACCCTACTCTTGTATATCCCTACATGTATAGGGCTGCCTCTTTAATGAGGACAGAGAATGCTCAAGGTGCACTAGCTGAAATCAATCGGATTCTTGGCTTCAAACTTTCATTAGAATGCTTGGAACTACGATTTTTTATCTATCTGGCTCTTGAGCACTACAAAGCTGCCCTTCGTGATGTACAAGCAATTCTTACTCTGTGTCCATGTTATAGAATGTTTGAGGGGCGCGTAGCTGCATCTCAACTCTGTACTCTCGTGCGTGAGCATGTTGAACATTGGACAACAGCAGATTGTTGGGCAAGATTATATGACAGTTGGTCTTCTGTTGATGATATTAAGTCTCTATCTGTTATCTATCAGATGCTTGAATATGATTCGGCAAACAGTGTTCTATACTTCAGACAGTCATTACTTCTCCTTAGGTATGTTATAAATGTTTAATAACTCTCATTGATTGTAAAAATTTATTGAATTCTACTTAATTCCATATTGAACCACATGGAATCTGATGTGGTAATTGGTGTTTCATGTACAAATATATATTGAATCATACAGTAAGTATCATAACTAAAAGGATAGGTAAATAATAGCTGTTTTTAATTTTCATGTTATATACATGTACAATTCTTTGTTCATGTAAAAGTCCCTACACCTCTGTCAGTTAACACAATCACAAAGGAGGACAAACCCGCAACATAAAAAATTTCCTTTGAGATCCAAGTTTCCCTTGTGGAAGTGTATCTGAAAATGCTTCAGGATCCTCTTTCATGTATTCTAATACCGACTGGAACTTATGAATGCTAAGGAGTCTTTAAATCTGACATTTTTTTGATTTAGGCTAAACTGTCCTGAGGCAGCTATGCGGAGTTTACAGTTGGCTTGGCAACATGCATCAAGTGAGCATGAACGACTTGTATATGAGGGTTGGATCTTGTATGATACAGGTCATTATGAGGAAGGGCTCCAAAAAGCTATAGAGTCTATTAGTATTAAAAGGTCTTTTGAGGCTTACTTCCTGAAGGCCTATGCATTGGCTGATTCTAGTCTAGATTCATCATGTTCTTCAACTGTTATTTCACTTCTGGAAGATGCCTTGAGGTGTCCTTCTGATAATCTGCGCAAAGGTCAGGTATGGTTCTTCTTCTACTGTACCACTTTCGGAAATATTTCACTAATCGACAACCAGTGGCCATGAGAAATTATAAAGAGAAATTATTTCTCTTACATTTGAAATTCATTTAGCAGTTATTGGTAACTCTGTATAAGTCATGAGCATGTGACCTTAGATGTTCTGATGTTTGAGCTCTAGATAATACCAAATTTGAAGCGATAACGTGCAGGTGTATAAAGAGTTTAACACCTCGCTAATGTCAATGTGTAAAGACTGATAAACTTGTTAGCCATTATAGTCAGTTATATCTGTGGCATCACATCACATCCATACAAGTAGGCTACTTTGGATACAATTTGATTATAGTTTCTCTTCCATTTAATTTACTAGGCCCTGAACAATCTTGGAAGTGTTTTTGTTGACTGCGGTAAATTGGACTTAGCTGCTGATTGCTATATCAAAGCCCTTAAAATCCGGCACACCCGAGCACATCAGGGTCTTGCTCGTGTTCATTTTCTCAAAAGTGATAAGGCTGCTGCTTATAAGGAAATGACCAACCTTATTGAGAAGGCAAAATATAATGCATCAGCATATGAGAAGAGGTCTGAGTACTGTGATCGTGAACTTGCAAAGGCAGATCTGGAGATGGTGACTAGGTTAGATCCACTTCGGGTGTATCCTTATAGATATCGAGCAGCAGGTTGATATTTTACTTGCTTACTCACCTGCATACTCAATTCTAAGGATATTCATATATGCAAAAGAATAAAAACAGCTTTGTTAGTCATATATAGGAACCTTGTTTGTATGTTAAAATTTCAAATGTCCGTTGTTATTGTCAATTGTTGTGGGTGCTACTGCCAGTAGCAAATTTTACTCATGTTGTCATATGGTGTTATTGCAGCTAGTACTTGACAATATGTATATGGTGTATGTGGTTGCAGTTTTGATGGACAGCCATAAGGAAGAGGAAGCCATTGCTGAACTCTCTAGAGCAATTGCATTTAAAGCTGATTTGCACCTCTTACATCTACGTGCAGCATTCCATGAACACAAAGGGGATGTTTTAGGTGCGCTAAGAGACTGTCGTGCTGCACTCTCAGTGGACCCAAACCACCAAGAAATGTTGGAACTTCATAGTCGTGTTAATAGCCATGAGCCATGAGCCATGAGTCAAGAACAAAACATTTGCAACATGGAAACACACGTTCAAAACTTATAACCTTCTCTGGCATTGAAAACACATAGGCACTGAAAGCTACACTATGAAGAGTGAAGAGGGACCGGCATTTATGCACCCATCAGCAGTCCTGAAAATTAAATTTGTAAATGAAAAGTATAGTTAAATTGTATGATTATAATTGTCCCTAGACTCTGTTGTGATGAACATGTGATTAGTATCATTTTCCCTCCTAAAGAAGGGTGGCCCAAATTTTGTAATTTGTATTCTATCTTTTTGGGATTATTATGAATGTCAGATATGCCGCTTATCTTACATGTGTTTTTATTTAGTAAATGAATCTTCCATTCTTTTTTGGTAAAACTGTCTCTTTGCAATTATGTAAGGGTAAAAGATTTTCTCCACCCCTCACTCATTAGTCGAATTTAACGGAGAATGATTTTTTTTTTTTAAATGAATCTTACATTTTTTTTTGCCACTAGAAGAAAATTGGATTCTGATTCAGCTTCCATTCTCACTGGCCCCTTGGAGTATATTTTCGCTCTTGTAATCTTGCAATCCTCCGAGTTATTGCGTAAAATAGTATAATTTCATTATCACCAAACGAACTATTGAGATGGCAAGCCTGGATGATAGGCGTGGGGAAACATGGCAGAGAGTAGAAGGCCTTGCGGTAAGAACTGAATGCAGACACAGACAGACCTGTAATAAATAAATTGTCGTACCCCCGTCTTAATTTTTAAAAAGACTATCATATCTACGTATTTTATTATATGAAAATACATACCGATGCCCATACTCATATCCTTGTAACACCTAGTATCCGATTGATGTTGGATTTTTCGCCAAGCCATCTTTCCCTTTCTTTACCTAAATGCATGCACGGTTATCTACTAAAAAAAAAAAATGCATGCTCGGTTGCACATGCACTATATATATTACAATAACTACAAGTCATTGGTCCTTTCATCCGATGGAATTTTTGAAAGTGACAATTGAAGACTTCTGTTGCCTGATATGGTATCCCCATCTGTGCTCATCCTTACCGTCTTTGGCCGCATGTGTAGTAAACGAAGCTCTACGCAGAGGCAGTATCAATTTATCTATACACCAGTTTCCTTATGATGAACCTTTCATGAGATTCAGGTCCTTTTTTTAAGGTGTCAACATCTCTTGCTTGGGTCCAGCTTTCATGCGAATTACAGACGATGCTGTTGATGACTTGATGCTACCTGTTAAATTTCAACTTTTTTGTATGTCCCTAAAGAGCAGTACTTTGAAGAATTAATATGGCAGCAAGACAAAAGGAAATAGAAGGAGATGAAATAATAATAATTAAGAACAAGTCAACTAACTAAAATTAAGGATAGCTATATATTATTCTTTCTCAAAAAAAAAAAAAAAAATACGAATGATTTTTTTTTTATTACTGTATTATAGTTTATCATAATACAAGTAAAATCAACAAACTTATACTATAATTCCATTGACAACTTTTTCTTTCAATTTCCAGAGAGAGAACAAAACAAATCAAGAGGTTTGCAGAACCTGTCATTCATTGTTTCCGTTTGTTCGTATATTGCAATACATAACATCACCTCATTAAAAAAATGACTACAAAAAATATCAACTCTATTTCAATATAGAATATCAAGCTAGCGATGCTCATCTGGTCCTAACTAAGATAAGTCCTATACAAAGTGATTTTGAAAACTGTTAGCAGTCAATTTTTTTATTTTTCATTTTTTTCATTTTTGGTAGAGTCAGTTATTTTGGCATCATCTTGTCAGGCTTGATATACATGAACGTCACGTATTTGCACAACGTAGCTTATTGTGCCTTCTTCCCTACCACCATCTGCAGCGGGACCCGTTCAGCAATAGAAGACACGGGACGTTTTACCACAGTTATCCATTACACTTAATCTTTAACTCATTCCTGTACAGCATCACCTAATAGGAATTTTCAGATCAGTAAAATGGTGGCAAAAACTATTCACCTGAGAATGAATAACTCGACGTGTAAGAAACAGCTGGTTGTTTCCTATAAAATCATCCTCTTGGGGGAGGTTGGAAATAGGGATGCTGCAGTGCCTCATCAACACTTGGACGATCCTCCTACAATTTTAACAGAAGCCTTCATTACATACAGCAGTACCCAACTAAAGCAGTCATTACTATTTGCCTAGATTAGTCGTGTCTGTTCTCTTTCCTTTCCTTTTTTTTTTTTTTTTTTTTTTTTTGGGCAGACTGACTCATGAATTTAGTAAATAAAAAAACAACAAAGTCTGACAATAAATTGTCTCACACTCTTCTCTCTGTCAATACACTGTTTAGTAACTTGACAGACTTGTCCATGAGGACTACTAAAATGTGCTGTGACACCGTCAACTAACAAAGTGGACTGTGCTAGTCAAATTCCGCATCAAAGACATAAAACAATTTTATGTGAAACAAACAAAAAACAGAGAAACAAAAATGGAAGTTGCAGTAAACACTTGAGTCGGTCGAGGTTTACAGCTAGTGATTTTATTTTATATCTTGAGTTTGTGATTTTAAACTACATAAAAATGCAATTTTTTTTGTCGTTCTATTAGGTTCCCACTGACAGAACATAAAAATACATGGTTGTGTCTTTCTTGGGAAAGTTGATAGGCAGAATCAGCAACAATCCATGTGTTAACTATGCCGCCTCAATTAACATTACACACAGGCAATCACGTCAAGTTGTTGACAGGCAGATTGACTGAGAAACAAATATGAAGCAATTTTTTTTTCTCTTTCAGGGACTAGAATGAAGATGATAAATTGAGAACATGTTCAATAGTAAGAGACCAAAGTAGGGTTTTTATCTAAGTTTGCATACAATGCCAACTATTATAAAACGCACAACCTCCCTAACGAGGTAGACTTTTGCTCCTATATATCAGAGAAATAAAGAGCATAGTACAGCTCCACATGGGCGGCAATCAAATTTTAATGCTACCAATACCAGGATGGAAAACAATTTAGATAGTTTCCTCAATCAAACACTTTTTTGAAAATAAGAAGCTAAAAGAATCACAAAAATGACAATATCAATTTTAATCAGGAAACTTACTGGGTCCCAGAGTAACAGATGGCGCACTAACCGTAAAGCCCAGATGTTTGAAAAACTGCAAGATTAAGAAAAACATTATGACAAGAAGACAACTGCCCCATGGGAGAAGACTAGATATATATAATAATATATTAAAAATGAATGCATCAGAAGTTAGCCAGCTAACCCTATTTTCAGAGGATCTCGATTCTTAATTTGACGAGAAAAGAATTCTTCAGAGCATTTCCAGGATGCAGGCGAAACTCCAACCTAAATTGGCAGAGATGAAAACTTTATTAGGTCAATATAAGGATTCTAAACGATAAAGATGGAAAGCAGCATCTCTCCAACAACTAAACTGTTGGACTCATCCAGAATCAGGCATTCCAAAGTCCATCTTCCTTAAGGGAGTGAAATACGAGATTTTAATCCGTGTTGTTGTAGTTATTGTTGTTTCAGATGAAGATGAGCAGACATTTGTCTACATGGATATATGAGGAAATCAATTTCTCAATTTTATTTCTGAGAGGAAACCAAATTCTATACTGACACTCTTTCTTGGAACAAATTAGCATAAAATGTATATTCCAGTTATTAGCACCTTATTGCCACAATTTAAAGTGGAATAAGCCCAAAATGAAGAATACCGAAGTTTTAGAGCATACTTTTTTATGTGAGTGCCTCTGCAAGTCTCCAAGGTTGGGTATGCTTTTGTGCTTAAGTTGTGCAAGCCCAAATATATGCTATGACACCCTCAGTAAAAATAATCAGTAGCATATGATGGTCTATTCTCCCATTTAATATTCGCCCCAGCCAAAATACTTCTTTTTAAATGGAATATAAATATTAATGTTTAATGTTGGACACTGTCAACTAATTCAGAAGAATACATAATCATACATAGTATCTCTATCTCATCATGGGTAGTAAACGGATTATGTTTCTTCTGTTCTATAAGTCAGCTTTTTATATTCCTAAAATAGCATGAAGTAAGCCAATAAAGTTACTAGTAAGTTGAATCTCAAATCAAGTGATGGTAAGGTCCTAAATAGTCATTAACCATATTTAGGAACGAAGTCACATACCACCCAATAAAGAATAAATGATTTTCTTTTGCAGATGACAAATTTGATGCAGGAGAGACTTCCTCCACGCTGTGTCTTTTATGTTATTTGTTTTGGTTTGATTTTAAAGTGCATTCTATGAAATAAATAGTCACATACTAGTATGTGAAATTTTTTTTGAGGCTTAGACAATAAGGTTATTTGAACTTTGAAAGATTGGGCAGGGCATGGTAATATCTTAATAACATTAAATAATACTACAGATTTTTATTCAGCCATCTTTTAGCCCTACTATAAAATTCAAGATCTAAGAGGTTTCTAAGTTCTAACCCCTAAAATCCTCTTATTATAGTTCCACTTCATTCTATCCTAGTCTTCCCAAATTCTATTTTTTACCCACTTGTCTATCATATTTTTCCGCATTAGAATTGGGAAGCTCTAAGCATCTGAGCTTTAGAGATGCAGATAATCTGTGCACTTTTCTGTGTTGAAAATTAACTCCGTCTAGAGGAATCACTAAAACCAATATATTTATTACAAATAAAAGATGTCAATCGACATTGTTCGTAAAGACAAGAAAAAGTTTAAACAAAATAATTAACTTTTTACAAGGTCATGAACCAAAGATTATTCCTATTAAGATGGTAAACTTACTTGGTTCACTGTGTGATACTTTTTTGAGGAACTGCCGGAAATCCCAGGGATTAAGATGCACAATTCCATGAATGATCTAAGTCTGTCACCACATTAATAAAATAATATTTAAAATTATAGAGTCCAGAGGTTCAAAAGAATTAATGAATTTAAGTCCCTCATAGTTCCATTCAATTATGTAAGTCTTCAAAACAATTGACAACAGTCCTAAGGTTAAACCATCTACTATATTTTGGAACCTGGAATGCATGGGCGAGCTACAAATGGGTAAGTGCCTGACAGCCTGCATATACCATTCTTGAAGGAAAGTTTGCAAACTTTTTAATTGTCGAATATGAAACCTATAAAATGCATGGAATTGTGGCAGAGAAAATGCTTTCGAGGTTTTCAATAATAAATACCTAATATAGATGAACTAACGAAAATGCAATGTTACAATAGTGAGAATGATAATCACCATCCCAGATGCCTAGAACTTTGATTTTTCAAAGCATCTATTCTCCCTTTCTTCCTCGATATTCATAAATGAAAATAATATAGGAAAATGACAGAGCAAGCGGCCGAAATGCCTAATAAATATTTAAAGAGAATGCAAATTTCTTGAGTTCAACCTATAGCAGAAAACTGAATCCTGAGATTTGGTGTCCCAAGAAAATCCACAAAGGAATACACATCCTTGAATAGTAGCAAGACTGTAACCCATTTGAATAAATCCTGAGGCAATTCCAACTCAATAAAGACTTTTACTTATGTCAAAAGACTCCAGCCAAATATTAGAAACCAAGAAAACAGAACACTAGCATCTAGCTTCTAATTCACAGTTTTGAGCTTACAACTAAAAACAACCAGCAAACAATTTGGGGAACAAGGCATATCCGGAAAACAGAAAAGCAACTAAGGAGCGCATTCATTTTGAATTTGTCACAACCCATAAAATGTTAGAATATGTGAAAATTTCTCATAATATTTTGATTGTATCTTAGAGTAATTTAGAGTATCTAAGAGGATTGGTTTTAATATTATTCATATATTTCATGATTTGTTTTCTTATTTAATTAGGATTGTGAGTCTTCTATTAGTATAAATAGAGCTTAGTGCATTGTTTCTTTGTAACACATCATTACACACCATATGGTATTAAAAAGGGTTGATTGCAGCCTTCTAAAGGACACACTTACTTGTATGCCAGCTGCTTCACACCGTCATTCCAGCCCTCAAGATGCCGGTCCAAAAGAGCACGTGTTAAAGCATTTATCTGGAAAACATTTGGTGTCCCTAAGACCAACTCTAACATTACAATACCAACGCTCCACATGTCATATCTGGGATAGCAGAAAGGTTGCTTCAACAGTTGCAGGTAATAGTATCTAGATCTATTAAAAATAAAGCAAAATCTTAAAAAGAAAAAAATTGAATACAAGATGCTGACTTCATGCAAAACATGACATACTTCAAGGTTGAGCTTGTTGGTCCTTGATACCACTTAGCATTTAGCAGAGCTTCAGGAGGTGTATATTCATAAGTTTGTTCAGCTCTGAAGATAAATAAAGCATATGCTTACCACAATAATCACAAATAAATAAACTAAATAAATAATCAGTATAGAAAGAACAGTGAGATACCTAGAAGGCCCAGCAGAACCATATAAATGCTTTAATGTGAATTCATCAATTCCACTTCCAAAATCGATAATACGCCTAACAGAAATAGCAAATGGGCATCAAATTCATTATGCAACACCAGTAAATTATTTACACACAGATCGATAGACACACAAATAGTTGGATAGCCAAATCAAGTTTTAAAAGATAAGCAATAACTCAGTTTTCGTGCTATCATTGTCAGACTCAAACCAAAGATTATCAGTGAAATAATAGATTTGAGAAAAAGACAGATTGTTCCTAATGCAAGCAGAAGATAGCCAGACACGGATACCCATTCTCCTTAGCCCTGTTTATAGGTTGTAGGGGGAAATGAAGAATTAATTTAGAATTTACCATGCATCAATCACATGGCTGAATTTTAAGTATATACGTACTGCAAGACTGGTTTCTAAGAAAATCTCAACACTTCAAGATCCAAGCAAGTATTGCAATTCTACAACACACAAACACACATGCTGCGAGTCTAAATAACTACATGGCACTGAATCCACTGATATAACTGATAGTAGACCTACTCTGAACAAATAACTAATAGGCAGGCAAGAAAAAAAACACATCATGCATAGAATTATTATCTGAATTCTAAAGAAAGGATTAATAAATTGTCACGGTGAATGAACTTTATTGCCTATCAAAATGGCCTTAAATACCCATCTTTATCTTTGCTGAAATATCAGTCATCATATATAGCTTACTTTGTGGAACATAGGAGCAGTAAATGTGCATCCAAATTGCAAAGAATGTAAATGACAGAAGAATGGTCAGAAAGAAGTGGAAAAGGATTTAATTATTCCATAGACTGGGAGATGGGAAGTCATACTGATGTATGCAATAGGATCTAGAAGACATGAGCTTAAAGATCATGCATCAGTTTTGTATCATAGTTGGTGAAGCTATGATGTTCACACATCGTGGAAAATCCTACCATCCAATCTTAGCTGGTAGGGATGCAAGAAGATCAATCTTTCAAAGGGCATTCGGTTAGTAGCCATTCCAAGAGGATCAGTACGATAAGGAAAAACTGAGTTATTCCTCAGTCAATTTGAGTGTCAAACATTAAGAAGAGAAGTTTCATAGGCAAGAAGCCTTTTAGATACAAGAAAAAATCAAAGGAAGAGAATAAGACTTCTAATTATTCTGTTAGATGATATTAAAACTAAATACACAGTTCATATGCAAAATATGGATTAAACCACAATTGAACCAATCATATTACAAACTAGAGTTATCTATATTTCAAATATATAGTATAGAAAGTTAAAATATATTCCCATCAATTTTTTATTCTAACAAAAAAAGTTAAAATAAAAGGAGGGTACTAAAATACAATTAAGATGCTTCACTGTACATTTTGGTGGAAAATTTATTGATTTTAGCTGGAATCTCTTTCAAGCATCTCCCCGTCTCCTGATCTTCAAAGCATATCACCATGTTCTCTACAAAAATAAAATACCTCTAGGCAGTTAATTTTTACGAAGAGACAAGTTCTTTCAATTGAGCATTGCATTACAATAAAAAGATAATTCAAACACGCATGCATCAAAGGATCACGGATGGAAGTATGGACTATGAATAAAGGGCCAACATATGTGTAGTGCACTAGTGTTTTAAAAGCTAGGCATTAAACATAAAAGAGAGACAGAGATCACACATATTTGAGATAAATTTTTTATCGAATTACCAGATTTGATTTGAGCTTAATTTGTTGAGGGTAAATATAGGAACCTAATATGCAGAGAGATTGATTAAGTAGATTTATTATACAGTAAGTAACAGGTCAGATTATCTAAAGAAAGGTAAAAACTGAACAAAGAAAAGCCACTTAGCATTTACACTTTTTGATGAAAAATCAATCACTTGAAATTTAGCAGCGCCAACTAATTGATATCGGACTATTTCATAAAATATTTTATTCATCTAGAAATCAACATACGTATACATCGTTTTGGCACAACAATTTACCACCATGTATTACCAGGTTTAATGTCCCTGTGTGTGATATTGCGATCGTGACAGGACTTGAGAGCCAATAACTGAGCAAACAAAGAGAGAAATTGTCAAGAATATATAGGAACAGTAAGAGGTAAAGTCAAGAGTATATTCTGGGAAATTTCATACGGCCATATCCAGAAAAATAGAACTTTTCCCACCTTTTTTGTTGACGATAGCTTTATTAGACATAAGCGAAAAATTGAAGATATTCATATTCACATACGTAACCTCCAAAACTTTCTTAACAAATTAATATACTTGAACAATGAATGTTCTCCACATGATTGGAGTCTGAGACAGAGAAATTAAAAGAAAAAAATTGGGACAATAGAGAAGAGTATATTTCTTAAGAGAAGAGTATATTTCTTAATAAAAGAAGAGTATATTTCTTAATAAAACCTTCTGGTCACATGCTAACCCATTTCTAATATTAACCACAAAATGTTCACCTGAAAACATATGATGCAGAAGTTTATAATACGCCAACCAAGAGAAAGAAAAAGATAGGATATCTCAGGATAAGAAAATGTTAATAAAGCAGACAAGATGTAAAAACATGATTTTAATACGCTATAATGTTATTCTTCTTGCACTTATAGCCCATTTGTATTATTGTCAACAACCAACTGTTCTATAAGAGTAAGTTGTTAAATGTATACTTATGAATGGATTTATATTTAACCCGTCTCCTTATATAAAAATTCTTTGGCTTGAAGCGTGGATAATGCATAAGACCACCTTATCCTATTCTGAAATTCAACATTTATTTAGAAGAATGGAGGCAGCAAACTTTGAACTCATTATCACTTTGTCATAGAGGTTTTGATACCATCTCAAGGACCAATTCTTTTAAAAGCTTAAGCTGCTAGGTGAATACTCATGAAAAGTTTTATATCTAACAATATCCTTCTTTTGTATGTTCTCTTCCATAAGTAATTTATTTTTCCACATTCCCTGGGTGCACAAGTCAGTTAAGCTTAACTCCAATAAAGAATGGCAATCATGTTGAATAACACAAATCGTCATATTAACAACGATAAAAATAACCACAAACAACTTCTTTTTGTTTTATCCTCGTTAGGGAAAAAAAAGTTGTGTGGTGTCTACATAGATTTCAAAGTATATTTCAAATACCAGGAAATCATAAAGGCTAACAGGGCAACACCCCCAAGAACCTACATTGAAGACATACCAACTGCCAGAGAAGGTTGCGCATTTCCTCTTGCCCTTCTTCTGTAGTTTTCAACCAATGCCACCACTTTGATGGACGTAGTATCTGAGCATGTTTTACTTGCTCAAATCTTTCTTTCTCAGCAGTATCATATGCATCTTCCACAGTATATAAAAGTTTAGACAATGACATGCCTTCATAACTGAATACAAGCCATATTTCATTGGATCGAGACTCAAAAGACTCCACATATCTTGCAATATGGTTCAAACCTTCTTCATACATGGCTCTTTGCAGCCTAAATTTGTTTGGAAATGAACCAAATTGTGAAGTTTCCAAGACACAGTTTGATTTTGCAGCTGATAGCAGATCTTCAACACATATAGAGGCGTTTAAGAAAATTTCTCCAAAATACTTCTCCCTCAGCCCGCTTAAGTAAACAGCAGACCCTCTCTCTACCTGTTCAGTACATTTAAGAGTTATTATGCTACATGCTTACAAATGCGTAATTAAACATACAATGCCTCCTGAAAACAAAAACTTACTTTTCTTAAGTCTAAGCAGCAAAGATAAAGAGCACCAAATCTAAGCATACCTCCTTTCTTTTGATTGTGAGTACTTATGTTTTGGCGCTAAAAGGTAAAGTTAACAAATTATTGTTAGAGCATGAAAGACTAAGTCAAGAGGCCAAAAGGACAACAATTTCAAAAACTTCTGTTGGGAAAAAGGGAAGGCATGAAACAGGAAGGAGATAAGGGCAAGATAGAGATAAGAAAGGACAGGAGTTCAATGGCTGCGGTATGAGACAAGTTCCAGTGGGAATAAGAGACAATCTGCGAGAGAGATAAGTGGGAAGGGAGAAAAGAACAATTGATGGAGTATTAGACGTGTGTTCTAGTGTGAGGACAAAAGTAAAATAGAGACTAACTGACTAGATATGAAATCATATGCATAAGATTTAAAAATTAATTTGTTATAATTTCAGTATTTCAAATTTATTCAGATTATAATTACTTAAATTATATTATGAAAGATCCAGCTTTTGAAATTTTTGTGATAACTACTATCTAAGACTAAATCAACACATCGAATTCATGGATGTTTATAAATAGATTAATAGAAGGAGTATCACATTATGGGCAAAAAAAATACATGCAAATGAAGGATCAAGCTACACCGAGATCCAAAGTATACAACAAACGCTGTAGAGGAAGGAATTAATTAAAAGAATAAAGCAAGCTGCTTCATGGAAGGCTAAATAATCAACACAGCAACACAATGGTCCAACTTCTAGGAAATGTTTATCCATCTTCCAGAAACACATTAAGAATAAGGATTACGGGATTGTATTTTGAATAAATAAGTATGATAGCAGACTAATTGATGCACAAAAATAAAATTGGTATAAACTCCTTTCTCACAATAGATAATGCATTTTGACACCTAAAAAGAGATCCAAATGCATTGAAACCATTAAAAGCAGTTCTACTTTACTCAATTGCATTACCATTATACGTTTCAAAATGTACAATGTGTAGTTAGAAGGACCATCCTGACAATCGGGAGTAGTTGAGCTGCTGTTTCTAACATTGTCATCCTTGCTCATGTTTGTGGCATTACTTCCTTGATTACAATTCCAATGGAAAGCTAACCATACTTCACCATATGATCCACGACCAAAACTCTTCTTTAACACATACCTATACACCAAAAATGCATATTGGTCGGGCTAAAGAAAACACGTATATGCATCAAATTTGTAAACAACACAATTTTTCTTATTATACAATCAAACACAATGGCAATCATGATAGTACTGTCCTTCCATATAAGATCAAAACTAAGGGAATCTCAAAACTGTATGTTTATATATTGTCAATTAGGATTAATCCTTGTAATTTACTAGTTTCCTTATTTTAATTTCGGGTATGTTGTATATATATTGTAATCTCCCATATTGGGAAAGTTAATTCAATACAGTTTTTTCCCCAATTGTAATCCTTGTAATTCATCTAGTTTCCTTTTTTTTGTATTTTTCTTTTTTAACTTTCATTTTCATTTTTCATTTTTTATTTATTTATTTATTGATTGATTTCCCCCCTTCTTTTCTCTCAATCTTTTCTTGCTTTTCATTTGATATGTTGATATTGAATTTTTTCACATATTACAATATATAGGCTAAACACAATAGTTACTTTCCTAAAATAAGGCTCAGTCTACGGTAACTAATGACCTGTCCTAGTAACACCTAGTTTACAATACAATGATTACAAATGTAGCTGATTTGAAACTATTACAACACTCCTTCTCAAGTTGTTGGGGAATGGATATCTATCATTTTAGCTTGCTTATAAGATCCTGAAACTTCTTCGTAAGTATTGAAAAGAAGTTTTTGTATATTGATATTGAATAATTTACATGAGTGAGTATTTATACAAGAAAGAATCGCTAAGAATGACTAAGCGGTGACTAATCAATCCTAATCACAATCAATTCTAATCAATCACAATCAATCCTAATCAATCATAATCAATCCTAATTAATAGGAAATAAAAACGGAAATATGTTTGAATTCTGATTTTCTACACTCCCCCTCAAGTTGGGAGATAAATATCGATCATTCCCAACTTGCCAATCAAGTCTTCGAATGTTGGACGGTGTAGGCCCTTGGTAAGGGTATCTGCCGTTTGCTCTTTGGTTGGAACATATATCAAACACACACTTCCATCATCTAATTTTTCTTTGATGAAATGACGATCAACTTCCACGTGCTTTGTTCGATCATGATGCACAGGATTTTGAGCAATGCTAACAGCTGCCTTGTTGTCGCAATATAGTTTTATTGTTAGGGAATATGAAATCTTCAACTCTTGAAGAAGTCTTCTCAACCAGATTCCTTCACAAACTCCATGAGCTAAAGCTCGAAATTCTGCTTCAGCACTACTTCTTGCAACCACTGTTTGCTTTTTGCTTCTCCAAGTAACAAGATTTCCCCACACATAGGTGCAATAGCCTGAGGTAGATCTCCTGTCTACTGATGAGCCTGCCCAATCTGCATCAGTGTAGATTTCAATTGTCCTTTTATACCCCTTTTTAAAGAATAATCCTCTTCCTGGAGTATTCTTGAGGTATCTAAGCACCCTATAGACTGCACTAAGATGCTTCTCCTTGGGTGAGTGCATGAATTGACTAATCATACTCACCGCAAAGGCAATGTTAGGACGCGTATGAGATAAGTAGATTAGTTTACCAACCAATCGCTGATATTGTTCTTTATCCACCTCATTCCCATCTTCAATACCTAACTTAGTATTAGGTTCCACAGGTGTCTCAGCAGGTTTACACCCTAACATTCTTGTTTCCAACAAAAGATCTAGAACATATTTCTTTTGTGTTAGAGTGATGCCTGTTTTGCTCCTAGCAACTTCCGTACCAAGGAAATATTTGAGAGTGCCAAGGTCTTTGAGTTCAAATTGAGCTGCTAGAAATTTCTTCAAGGTGTTCAATTCCTCAATATCATCACCTGTAAGAATTATATCATCTACATATACAATAATAATAGCAATTTTACCATCCTTAGAGTGTTTGTGGAAGAGAGTATGATCATTCTGTGCTTGAATGAAGCCTTTTCTTTTGACTGCTTGTGTGAATTTGTCGAACCATTCTCTGGGAGATTGTTTCAATCCATATAGAGACATTTTTAGTTTACACACTGATCCATTTCCCTTTTCAAAACCAGGTGGAAGATCCATATAGACTTCTTCATGTAAGTCACCATTTAGGAATGCATTCTTCACATCTAACTGTTGCAGAGGCCAATCTAGATTGGCAGCAAGAGATAAGAGAACTCGGATGGTATTGACTTTAGCAACCGGAGCAAAAGTCTCATGATAATCTATCCCATGAGTCTGAGTGAAACCCATTGCAACCAATCTTGCCTTGTATCTGTTGATGCTATTATCTGCATTGAATTTTATTGTAAACACCCATTTGCATCCTACTGCCTTTTTTCCTTTGGGTAGGGTCACTATCTCCCAAGTTCCATTTCTTTCTAAAACATTCATTTCTTCAAAGACAGCATCCCTCCATTTGTGATCATTGAGAGCCTCATGTATATTTCTCGGTATCTTTGTACTATCCAACATAGTATTGAAAGCACGAAACCCTGGGGACAACTTTCCATATGAAATATGATTAGAAATAGGATGAGTAGTACAAGATCGAGTACCTTTTCTGAGAGCAATGGGCAAGTGTAGATCATTTTCACCATGACACTCAAGTATTGGGGTGCTGGAACTAGAACATGGTTCAGAATCCTGGCAGTGTAGAGGCTCTGGGTTATTCACACTTTGAGGAGGCTTTCGCCTGCTATAAACTTGTCCCCATTTTGAGGAGGCTCTTGATGGTGAGGATTCTGTAGCCCCCCTGTTTCCAAAAGTAGAGGTAATACCGTGGCATCAGTAGGTTCCCATGACTGATCTTCATCTACTCCTATAGACTCCCCCTGAAGAGAAGTCGAGGGGAAGAAAGGGTCATTCTCAGAAAAAGTGACATCCATAGAGACAAAGACCTTACGAAGAGAGGGTGAATAACATTTATAGCCACGTTGAGTAGGAGAATAACCAATAAAGACACACTGAAGAGATTTAGGATCAAGCTTAGACCGTTGATGGGAGGGAATATGGACAAATACAACGCGACCAAATAACTTGAGAGGTAAGGAGGAGACACCTCGGAAGGAAGGGAAGATACGAACAAGACTAGAAAGAGGAGACTGAAATTTCAGAATGCGAGATGGCATTCGATTTATCAGATACGAGGCAGTGAGAACTGCCTCTCCCCAAAGATATTTAGGAACACTCGTGGTAAACATAAGAGCCCGAGCAACTTCAAGGAGATGTCGGTTTTTTCTTTCCGCAACTCCGTTTTGTTGGGGTGTCTCAGGACACGAGCTTTGGTGAGGGATGCCATGTTGGGAAAGATATTCTCCAAGAATAGAGTTAAAATACTCTTTGCCATTATTTGTACGAAGAATTTGTATAGCAACTTGGAATTGGGTTTGAACCATGGCATGAAATTTTTTAAACACGAATGCAGCATCGGACTTATCCTTTAGAAGATACACCCAACAGACTCGAGAATGGTCATCAATGAAGGTAATGAACCATCGAGTACCTGAAATATTTTTAACACGGGCTGGACCCCATATGTCACTATGAATTAAGGAAAATGGGGAAGAGTCATGGTGAACTTTAGAAGGATAATGAGCACGAGTATGCTTGGCAAGTTGACAAATATCACAAGAAAACAAACTTGGACTTTTATTAATAAATAAGTTTGGCAACAACTTCTGAAGATAAATAAAATTTGGATGGCCTAGCCTACGATGCCACAGCATAACATCATTACATGAATCAAAAGGAAACATGGAGTTTTTTTCTACGAAAACAGCTTCATGAGTCACATCCTCCTCAAAGTAGTAAAGTCCACCATCCTCTCTAGCACTGCCAATCATCCTCTCCGAGTCCTGTTCCTGAAAAACACAACCATGATACCATGTTGAGAAATATAGTCCCACAACTAATGTGAGGTTTATAAGACCTTGGGAAGGGGTGATGAGGAGGCGGAAGAGGAAGGGGAGACCGTTGATGAAGCCATGAATAGAAAGAGAAGGGTTGACCGTTGATGAAATATCAAGTTTTGTAAATTTTTGATCTGACCTCTGGAACAGAAAGGGGAGAAGCCGGCGAGAAGGTCTGTGCAAGTCGCGGCGGAAAATTGGGAAGGCGACGCGTGGAGCTCACGCGCCGGAGACTGGCCGCGCGTGTGACGGCGCGTGCGGCGGTTGACGGTGATGGGTCCAGCGACGGTTGACTCGTCGGATCCTTCTGAGTCGAATGGTCACTTCACTTTCTTGATCGGAGGTCAGTAGACTAGGTTTCTGTGTTGGACAGATTCAAGGAGGTGTTTGACGGTGATGGAAGTGTTTGGATGGTTATTTCATATTTGAATTAGGGTAGGAACAAACCCGCTCTGATACCATATTGAAAAGAAGTTTTTGTATATTGATATTGAATAATTTACATGAGTGAGTATTTATACAAGAAAGAATCGCTAAGAATGACTAAGCGATGACTAATCAATCCTAATCACAATCAATTCTAATCAATCACAATCAATCCTAATCAATAGGAAATAAAAACGGAAATATGTTTGAATTCTGATTTTCTACAGTAAGAACTCCTTTAGTGAACACATCTACCAACCAAACCCTGAAGAAACTTAAGTTGGGACGATCAGTCAATTATCTACTTTCTCCTTATAAAATACCAGCCTATTTCATATTCATGATGAGCAGTCAATTGTTAATGGCTGATTTGTTGTCAAAAATCAACTTTACAAAGATCATTCAATATAATGTTCATCTATAGTAGCTCAAAAACACCTAGTGCCACAGCTGGAAAATTCAGCTTTTGAACTTGATAGGTGGCAACATTTTAATTCTATTCTATAACAACATCATCTTTATCTCAAACTAGTTGGAGTTTGCAGTCAACAAACTCAGAGAAAAACAAGAACGGATTAAGGAAAAATAAATAACAAATAAGAAAAAAAACAATATATATAATAAAAATAAAATAAGTATATAAATAAATAAATAACATAGAAAAATTGAAAAGTTTCAATTTTAAATTTTTTCAGAGCAAAAGAGAGAAGAAAAATATATAGCACAAATTCCACCCTTCCATAATGTTAATAGCTTTCCTCTATTCTGTCCTAAGACAAACCGCACTCCAATCTATTTAAACACTCCATTAAGTCTTGTTTTACTACCAACTTGAATGAAAAAGGAGATTATATGACAGAAGTAACTAATGACCTATCAGAGTAATTGGTGAGCTATTTGAACTAAGATATGGCAGAAGGAAGAAAACAATGGTAGAAGTAGGGAATGGGCCAAGTAATGAGAAAAGAGGTGATGAGCTGGTGACCACCAGGACATGTGGCAAGAAAATACTAGAGAAGGGGAGAAAATGAAAAAAGCTGCAGAGCAGAATGATGGGGAGTCGAAATAGTGGTAGTAGAATGATACAGTACTGCAGAAAATAAATATGGAAGAGTACATGAGAGGAAGAGGTGTAGGGGATTAGAAGACCCACGTGCACAACATATGTTAGAATTAAAGGGTGAGTTAGCATTGGGTGATGGAGGAAAAGTTGGTTAGAGGAGTCACATTATTTGCAATTAGTTTGTTATAAATAGAGAGGGGAAGACAGAGGAGGGATCATCTTGGAAAGTTGGAACTCTTGGGCTCTTGGGAGAGAACCGGAGCCTCTCGAATTGTTCTGGATATCAGAGTGTGTATTTCCTTTCTTGTAGCTTTTGTTTTTCTTTAATTTCCTTTTCCATTTCTGGTAATTTTCCTTGAATATTGTAATTCTCCATATCAGGGATACAAGTTTCCATTTCCATTTAGTAAAATCTCAGTTGTTGTTGTTGTTGTTGTTTAATTTCTGATCATGGATTTGAGGTCTGTAACAATTGTATCAGAGCTCTCTGATCTGGGGAGCTTTGAAACAAATAAAAAATAAATAAAAAAATGGAAAAACAATTTCGCAAAATCAGAATTCCTATATTTTCAGGTGAAGAAGATGCGTGGGAATGGTCGATCCAGGCTGAGCAGTATTTAAAGTCATATGAAATTTCAGACAACGAAAAACTAAAGGAAGCTGTGAAGCGGTTCACCGGTCATGCTCGTATTTGGTACCGATTCTGGATCTGGCTTAACCCAAAAGCTAGTTGGTGGATATTTTTAAAAGCTTTTTTCAAGGAATTTCAACCGGAAGTTTGCTTGGAAGTGACGAGACCGGATCAGAGCATGAAACCTTCAATTCTTCTGTGTGTTCGAATGCAGAGACAGAACAGTTGAAGGCAGAGAAGGAAGAAGTGGTTCAAAACATGGGGGCAGATCTAGAACCTCCACAACCAGCAACAACGTCACCAAGAAATTGTGTGTTGGAGAAGTCAGAAATCATAGGAGAAAAGAAAAATATGGTGGCAGTGGAGGAGGTAGATGACCAGAACAAGAAGGAGGAGGAAGACAAACTGAAATGTTGGATACGCAATCAACATCTTCATTCAGGCAACCAGATTGGGGCTATTGTATGGAGAGGAAAATTCAGAACAAAAGAAGAAGAAGAAGAACAATCGCAGATGAAGGATGTGTAGACGATGGTGTCGACACAGCCACCAAACTTCGATCTTCATGAGTATGAGGAGTCTCCCCATTGCGGCTGTGAACTACCTCAAAAGACGCATGCAAGAAGGGAAGAAAGGGATACAAAAAGAAAGGAAATTGATGGAGACAATGATACAGAGAAAGCTTTGGCTAAGGTAGCGTGTGAGCTGAAGACATTACAACCACCGGACTTGAACCTTCATGAGAGGGAAGGGAACTCTACGCTGCACAATCTTGGACGGAGAAAATGGCTGTAGATGTATTTGAAGAGGATGGAGCAAAGTAGGTCACAATGCTTAGAGGATTTTGGACCAAGTTGTTGGCCAAACAGATCAGGCCCACACTACTATTGAAATATTCCCAAGTCAGCCTATTAAGGGTGACATTTGGGTTTGTAAGCCCAAGTTGATGCCTAGCCTAATCAAACCCAAAAAATATGTTTGTTGTCCATACCTTGTTCATCGTAACATCACTTTGCAAAGGACGACATCCACAAAGATCTTCAAGTCTCATGAAATCGAACCAATAATTTCAGCTTGCACTCGTCTACAGCAAATAGTTTCCAATCACCCCAAACCATCGCTCATACACCTTGTTGACGCATCGACATATGCGAACAAGAACCCAGTTGTTGCAAGGTGTACAAGAGGTAGCACATTGCATATACTTGTTGAAGATAATGACTGGGTCAATCATCGAGAAAATGGAATACACTATTCTTTTGATGCTACAAAGTTCATGTTCTCATGGGGTAATTGTTCTACGAAACTCTAGATGGCCAGGATGGAAGGAATTGGCTACTTTGTGCTGCCTTTTCTCTTCAGAGTCCTTGGACAAGGTCTTAAGATTGTAATGAGATGCCTCACAAGAATTAATCAACCACGGGGGCAGATTGGTTAAATTCTGGGTACCAAATCCAAAGCAGACTATTGAAGATATTAAGCTTAAGTTGATTGTCGTTGCCTCAACTAAACTCATATGTGAGTCTCCAATCCTTTTCGAACCAGTCATTGCATTGGGAGCATCTGTTCTTTGTAGTGGAGAACATGGTTCACTCTTGGAGCAAATGATCAAATTTCTATCTCTGCATGTTCCAAGCACGGCTACCAGCGCATTACAGGTTCTTTTGTGGCTGGAAATTGATGATGGAACCAGTGTGGAAGGTACATGGGATCCTGGAGGAACTCATTATGCTTTAGTCATAAGTTGGCCATTACATTTCAAGCAATGGGACCCAGGAAAATTATCATGACCTTGAGGACAAGGTGATTGTTAGGGGGAGAGTATTGATACGGTACTGCAAAAAATAAATATGGAAGAGTACATGTGAGGAAGAGATGTAGGGGATTAGAAGACCCACATGCACAACATATGTTAGAATTAAAGGGTGAGTCAGCATTGGGTGATGGAGGGAAAGTTGGTTAGAGGAGTCACATTGTTTGCAATCAGTTTGTTATAAATAGAGAGGGGAAGACAGAGGAGGGATCATCTTGGAAAGTTGGAACTCTTGGGCTCTTGGGAGAGAACCGGAGCCTCTCGAATTGTTCTGGATATCAGAGTGTGTATTTCCTTTCTTGTAGCTTTTGTTTTTCTGTAATTTCCTTTTCCATTTTTAGTAATTTTCCTTGAATATTGTAATTCTCCATATCAGTGATACAAGTTTCCATTTCCATTTAGTAAAATCTCAGTTATTGTTGTTTAATTTCTGATCATGGATTTGAGGTCTGTAACAGAGAGTAATGGTGGGTGTGCACTTTTTTTGATTCGGTAGTCAGAAGATATCGAGATTCTGGGTGGCCAGGAGTCAGGGTCATTTGCTTTTGTTTCTGGGTTCAGCAAGAGTTTTGTAACAAGCTGTCCAAGCTTGAGAGTCTGTGTCTGTCCTAATTTGAATTTTATTTTCTGGTCAGAGACGTCCCTTAAGGAGCTTTGTCTTCAAATTTTCACTGTTAATATTACAAATCTGATTTTTAGGTCCATCAGTAACACAATAATTTACGATAATTACAATGATTACAAATGTAGCAGATGTGGGACTATTAAAACAGGAAGCAGATAAATTTACCTCAAATCAGGAAATGAATAATCAGAAGACCCATTATTTGAACCAGTATCATGTAAAGGAATCGATTCAAGAAGACCCATAAAACTAGCAAAGCCTTCAGGATTTATGCATTGGTCTTTGGCTTCATTGACAATCGGACCAAGGTTAAAGCAAAAGTTATGTTCATTGTACAAATTTACAGGACCACCTACTGCTGAAAAAGGAATCAACCGAAGAGTATTTGATTGTCAACAGATAAACTAAAATTCAACTAAAAACAAATGCAAGATAACAGCAATAAATTAAGAGCAACCAAAAAATGCACCATGATTATGTAATTAGATAATATGACATCTTTGCTTACCAACATGTTGATGAAGGGCGTCTGGTAGAGGCTGAGGTAGTTCATACAGATAGTCTTCCCAGTCAGTTTTTTTAGCAGGCTGCTTAGAGTCCACTGGTTCATCAAGATTTTCAGATAAATAAAAACATCCAAAATCACCATGTTTCACTTCAACCTATCATAAAAATGAATCCAAAGGAATTCATTTAGATTAATTTTGACCAGAAAAATGTCTGTTTTGAAGTGAAGCAATGATTTACTATTATGCCAAAAGAGTACACAGAGATGGAAAATTATTCTTGATGACACACATATAAAGAAGGTATCAAATTCCCAGAAATGAAAACTCATACATGTATCTCAATGCTAAGAATGGAACTGCTGTATTGAATAATATCCCCTGAAATCAAGTAACTATCTATTATATCTTACCATATCAATTAATAACAAGTGACCCTATCTAAAATATCTAAAAATATCAGTTAGTATCAAATAAAACTATCTAATATATCTTAACAATATAAATTAATATCAGGTAACTATATCTAATATATCTAACATTATCAATTAATCTAATTACTATTACAAACAGGCCTACTCAACTAGATCATTGGGTCCATCCTTATTTCTTCTCGCATTCACCTTCTTAATTAGGGCCTAACAAACTATTGCATTGGGGGAACAGATTGGGAACTGGGAAAAAGAACAGAGGATTTGAACCCCTCCTAGAAAAAATATGGCTAAAATTCCAACAATTCCAGTAAAGCAAGTTGGTCCTCTTTATTCAATTCAGGACATACAAATTACTCTCAAGACAGCAAACCTTCTATAACACTAAGTTTCATCCTACAAATACAACAATGCCAAAAATCACAGCTCAAAAACTGACTCAACCACATTTTTGAAGAATCACGGCATTAGAGTCCCCTGGCTTTAACACACAACAATTATCTTATAAATTGACAAAATGCTATCAGTCTGTTCAGAAAAATCAATTCATTCCTTAATTCCATCAGGACATTCAATTTATGAGGGAAAAACAAACAAAATATAGAAGAAATTCACAATAATAATTTCCACAGGCTTTCAGCCATACCAATATTCGCTTAAACTTGGTATCTACCAGATGAGGATGCTCCAAATGCATTAGAACAGATGTGATGTCTTTAGCTGAGCAAGTTTCAAAATAATAAATTAGATGACAAGCATCAGTAACAAGATCACAAGCTACACAAAGCAATAACCAGGTTAAATAACTTCAGCAATCATTTAACTTCTCAGCAGAGCACATACCTAGGCATATCTGATTTTACTCATTTAAGTTAAACAAGACATAAGTTAATTGTTAAAGGCATAAGTAATTGCTAAATACAAATACACACCTGGGGTGTTTTCATGTTTTTTTTTTTTTTTTGTTCAACCCCTCATTCGTTCCTTAAATGGGTAAAAATTTGTTCTTGATAAACCCTTTTGGAAATCCAAAGCTCCCTCAAAGGTTTTATTTGTACTGCAGTACTTAATATAATTAATACTAATAAAATGTTGCAGCTTCGTAGGCCACATAAGACTCTTTCCCCTGATATGTGTGTAATGTGTGGTGCTTGCTCATAATCAGTTCCTAACCTGTTCTTAAATTGCTCTACTGTGGTTTCAATATGGCACTCTTTATTCAGTATTTTCAACAAATCCAATTCTTGCTGATTAGCTTACATGGTTATGGTAGAAGTAAAAAGACTAAATTTTTGGGGCAATATGCAATCTATGCTACAATTTGGTGCATTTGGTTGGAGCAGAACTCACCTATTTCTAAGGAGGGTTTTTTTGTTACATCACTTGATTTGGTACAAGATTAGATGTTTGGCGTCTATTTGGTCTGAGGTTCATGACCTTTTCAATGGGATTTCACTACCATTTAGGTTTAGGGATTGGGGAAAATTTGTTGCATTGTTTTTCTCTTTTTTTCTTGCTTGTTTTCTGTTTTGTTCTTTTTCTTTAGGAGGTTTCCTTATCCACCTTCCTCTTTCATCAACATCACCTTTAACCCAAACTAGTTGGGGTCACGGTTGATGAACCCAAATAAAAAGCAAGAAGAGTTGTCTCAATAAATTTCTTCTTTTACCAAGAAAAAAAAGTAAACAAAACCTCACCTGAAGCTTGTGAAACTTAAAATTTCATCCGAGCAAAGTTGTATAGAAGTTGGTCCAGAGTGGGAGTAGGCATATGGCAAAAGTAAAACATGGGAGGTATTTGTTTGTCAAAAGTGTCAAGTTAGGGGAGGCCCTTGTAATATTCAAAACATGAGAGGAAGGAAGCCTAAACTTTGAAAACTTCACGAGAAGTAAGTGTGACATAGTCTTTATATTATTTTCCTCTAAAAAGTGAACCCAACCTTGCTGATATTTCCATATTCATTAAAATAAATATGCATAAACTACTATGCACAAATAACAGACTCAAGGGACAAATCTTAACGTAATGAGTCTTGGTAAGAAGTTTCGTCATTTAAACCCATAAAATATACCTGAGCTTCTGGAAGCAGGTTCCTGTGGACCAAATAATGGGAAGCCTGCATCCCTATTTTCAACATAGCCTCTCCTAAGCGTGTTTACAGAAGATTTGGAAGATTCCAGAGGAACAACAACTGCTGCCACATTGTCCATACTGCCCTTTGTGAAGGAAGTGTTAACAATAAAATCTGCCAATGAATAGGAAGATGAACAGGTACACTCTGATCTCATGTTACTGAAACAGTGTACTTCCCACAACAAGTCACAGACATCCTGCATGTTCATTTTCTCAAATACACCATCAGATGCAGCCACCAAATAGCTATCATTGGCAGTCAGAGGCTGCCAATCAGTCACTTCTGGTGCAGATATAACACCATAACTGTAGACAATTCATTATAACAAATGCATCAGAAATTCAACATAAAATAGGCATCCTAAAATCTTTAGTTGTTAACCCTCACCCACAAGAACTTTGAAAAGCACAGGCTAACCCCTCCCCTCCCCTATTGCTGAAATTTAATTTTGATACAGGAATGACCTATTTTAAATTTATATCTCCAATATGAACCACCAACCCAAAATCATTTGCACATGACATGAGGCTGCTGCTTGAAATATACCCATGCTTTAGCTATAAGCTTAGGGTTTATGAAAAGAATTTCCATTGAACCAACCTTTTAAAGAATACATCACCAATAGCCCGTGTAATAGCCAGCTGACCATTTATGCGAGGCACACCACCCCAATTTAGAACTTGACCACCAGCTGTTTCCACCCTAATTCTTTCATCATCTCTGTCTGGATGATGATCACTGGTCAATTCCTTTACTGCAAAATGAGTGAGTCCATGAGAGGAAGCCAATCTGTACTTTTCACGATCCCATACGGAAACAGAACCATCATGCTCTTTCTGCCTATATAGCTTTAATAATGAGGCTACACGTCACAAGGAACTAAAATTAACCTTCTAGCCATTTTTCCTTCAAATTAAAAAGTAAGCTTGTAATCTTGTTATCACCACACATAATATTTAGACAAAAGAAAAGAGCAACAGGATAATATGCAATAATTATGCCATGATAAACTTGTAAAACCAATACAAGTTTAATTACATTTCATAATCTTTCTCACCTTTAGCCTCTCTAGGAGACTGAAATTTTTCAGAACATAAGAAGGCCTTAGAGTCTCCAATATTGGCAACCAAAATTTTATCATCTGCAACCAATACAATGGTTGCCGTAGATCCTGAATGAAGACTATTTTTGTTGGCTTCCTTCATAGTTCAATTGAAAGATGTCAATACAAGAACACGTATAAAAAAATTATCACATTTAGTTTTGTAAAACTGAACAGAAAGTCAAACTCACCTCAGAAAATTTTGCATCAATATCATGAATTGCTCTCAACAATGCTTCCTTCAAAATTTCCAAGTGCAAAGAATCATCAAAATTTGCAGAAAATGTATTCTGAAACCTGAAAAATTATTTCTAGTTGAGATAGACAGACATACAAATGTGAGAAACAAAAGGCATGTAAAATTTTGAATGCTATTTGGAACACTCGGTCCATTTGTAAACCGACAAACTGACTCTAAAGCCAAACCAAATGTTAGTAGCGGGTAAAATATACATTCAAAAATTATTCACACGAATATCGCTATGTACCTAAATTACGCATTTCTAGCTGACATATGTTCCTTTTAAGTTCATAAAAAGAGAGCGTCAATATGTCACATTGACATTCACTGCTCTGCATAAAACCAACCTTATTTTCAAAAGAGTGATGTGCAACGCATAATAAACTACACTTCGTTAAATCAATGATACTAGAGATACAAAAGCACCCTGCAGTAATTAATTATTAATAAAAAGAAAAACTAAGCTTACCAAAAAAAAAAACAAAAAAAAACAAAAAAACAAAAGCACCTTTCGAAATCCTTTTCATGCCATTGCCAACCAAGAATTTCTTTCCATCTATGCAGTAGGTTTACACGATCACGATCTCTCTTGTGAAGCAATGTTCCTGTAGACGCCTTGGATATAACAGAATACGCGGCATCAAGAAGAAAATAAGTATGCAAAACGAAATACTCCACCAAAAGTTTTGACGCCATCTCACTAGCTTCTGCACCGTTATGACCATCGAAAACAGCCACAATCCCAACCGCAACCTCCTTGATCCCGAACGCATCTGCTCCAGCATCAAACGCAGAAAATTAGACCGAAGCTTCTGGAACACAAACCAGAGGAGAGGGAGAGAAAGAAAACAAAAGAGAATTTCGGACAGTGTACCAGGGAAGGGAATTCGAACATCAAGGACGCAGAGAGTGCGATCCTCTTGGGAATTTCTACGGCCCTGGAGCATCGCGGACTGACAACGCGCGGTGGTTTGGGGAGGAGAATCGTAATCGGTGAGCTTCCAGCGAGGGCATTTTGGGGATTGGAACACGGCCGGAGCACCGCCGTTCTTGTAGACCGTCAAGCAGGTAGATGATTCCCCGCGAGAAAAGGGGATTGTTGCAGAAAGCAGAAACCCTAATGCGAATAATAGGTACTGAATCATGTCTGTTAACTACTAACTAAGGTGAGAAATTGAAAGTTGCTGAATGATGCCCATTGCAGTGAGAATTCAAGTTCCCGCTTTTGCAACAAACTAGTTTCTTTCTTCCCAATTCTGATTCTGTTGCGATCAGATTTTCCGAAACCAAAACCGCCACCGCGGTTAGTACCCGCCAAATATCTTCAATTGGAAAGTAACTTGTCTTCGATCCTTGGGTTTAAAGCCTTAATTTTATACTTGCGCCTTAATTCAGTATCCATCTCAATTAGTACCATTTTTGAATATTTGTGATTTATTTAAAATAATAATAATTTGTCAACACTTGGCACTTTGTGTGGTATTAAAATAAATACATTTTTTAATTAAATAATAATATTTGCACAAATTTTATTCTTAATAGTGTTTTGACAAGTATTGCATGTTCCTCAATATGTATTTTTTTATTTTTAATTAAGGTTTAAAAAATAACTAATAGGAGAATAAGCAATGATCGACTAACCGATATATCCAAAGTTGGCACAGAAACTGGATGCCTATGCAGTGAATATTTTGGTCTTCTTGATGTGAACTGGTGCAAGAGATGTTTGAAAGATTAAAAATCATATGGTGCTATGCAAGGTGGAAAATTTTTGTTAGTATTAAATGATAGGGTTAATATTTCTCATATTATAAAATAGGAAATAACATCTACCCTTTTAAAGGATATAAACTTATATCTTTTTAGATCTTAACTGTTGATTTTCGTCCATCAACGGTTATAATTTATTGGATTAAAATTATTAATTAATTAATAATAAATTTGACTCATTAAGTTTGACACAATAGATTATAACCGTTGATGGACGGAAATCAACGGTTAGGATCTAAAAGGATATAAGTTTATATCCTTTAAAAGGATAGATGTTTTTCCCTATAAAATATAATAGAAGATAATATTATCTTTTATATACAATAAAAATAAGCCCATTCATTTTTATATATATAAAAAATAAAATTAACAACACTAATCTCTTCAATTATTTGCTTGAGTGTTTTTTTTTGAGTGAAAATATTATTTTTTGTGAGATTGGATTTATTAAGTGGAAATCAAGTGGCACGTGAGCTTTTTAAGTTGACTATGTTTGGCCTAGAACAAGCGTAGGTAGACAGATGCACCTTGTCTTACGGTAATACTTCAATTTTGGAGATGCTTGTAAAGCCGTCACAATAGGCAAAATCAACTGTACAAAAAAAAAAAAAAAATCAATCGCGTCAATCTATTTATCTGCTAAAATTTGATAGGCTGGGTTCGAAAATTATTGACCTACTTAAATCAATTAAATTAAGTTACAACTACTCAATTGACATCCTCGCGATATTTAAGTTTGGAATAAGATAATAATGACATACCTTCAATCGTTCACTTATAATATATTTAAAAAGTAAGAGAAAAATATATTAAGTAAGGACACTTGAATTCTTTATTTTTTTTCAATTCACATGTAAAAGTATAAAACCATGTATATATTGTGTGTGTAAATATATAATAATTTAATAACAACATGTATTTAGAACGATGATGTCCATCGTATCACCCGATATGTGAAAATTAGCATATACATTAGGGGTGTTCATCAACCGATCCAAATCGATTCAAACTGCGGTAACCGAACCGAAAAATCGATAACCGAATAAACTGAAAATCGAAAAACCAAAAACCAAAAAAAAATCGCAAATTTTAATTGGATTAGATCAGTTTTTGAATAAGTTGATGAAAACCGATCCAATCCAAACCGATCCAATATATTAATTTTCCTCTACCTATTTGGATATATCTCCAATCATAGCCCAAAAGTTTTTAAACCCAAGACTCATTGGGTATCAACTAAACCCAAGAAAAAATCTAATAACATCTCATCAACAATTTTATCTTTGTAGAGTTTCATATCTCATTGCCAAAAAAAAAAAACTATATTATAGTTTACTAATGCTTTTATATTTAAAATAATAATAATTTACAAAGCCAATATATACAAAAAATATTATTTGCATAATAATCATAGAATAAATTTTAGAATTTTCAAAAAACTGAAAACCGATCCAATCTAAACCAAAAAAAATTGGATTGGATCGGATCGGATTTGAAAAAAAATTCAAACCAAATGGATGATTATATGATCAAATCGAAAGAATTGGATCGGATAATTTTTGCTTCCAAAACCGATCTAATCCAGGAACACGCGAACACCCCTGATATACATGATTCGCCTAATGAATGTTTAAATTAGGATATACATAATTGAAGGCTTTTTGCTTTAGTTTGCAGTTTCAATGAATGCTTTTTTGTTAAATTACAAATCACCCATTTTAACATAAAATTTCAAACATTTTTTTAAATTTAAATTTTAATAAATTATACACTTAATTTTAAACATGTAACAATTCACTATTTTTATCAACCATTATATTCTTTACAATATTAACCTTAAATATGATATTATATTTATTGTTTCTTTCAAGCTAAACAGTTCTAAACATTAAGTAGTAAAGTCGTACAATGTTTACCAAAAAAAAAAAAGTCGTACAAAATTTAAAGTAGAACTATAATAAAAATTTTGGTGAACAAATAATAATTACTAAAAACTTATATAGATAGGTAATTTATAATTTAATGTTTTGTATACAATTATCATTCTTTATTTTCAATTACTTATTAGATTTTTTTTTTGGTAAATATTTCATTATTAGATTTTTTTTCTCTTATAATTTTTATTATTTATCATCATTTCATTTTGTTCAATGACAGAACTTATGATGCATATAAAATTATCATTCTTTATTTTCAATTACTTATTAGATTTTTTTTTTGGTAAATATTTCGTTATTAGATTTTTTTCTCTTTATAATTTTTATTATTTTTCATCATTTCATTTTGTCCAATGACAGAACTTATGATGCATAAAAAATGAATGGAACTCAATTTTTATTTTGTTATCAATTTAGAATATTATTCTTTTTATTTGCTAATCAATAATCTCAAATTATTTTCGTCACCATCACCGAAAAATAACATACGCCAAATTTAAGCCAAAATACATGTGCAAATGTTTGTCCCATTAAGTTAGAGGACATACAAAGCCTGGGCATGGAAAACACATGACCATCACATTCCAAGAGGAAAAGTCAAAAAGAAATCAGAAAATTGGTGCTAAAAAGAGAAGGAGAACCAAGAATCATCTGCGCTCCTAATTGAAAATATGATGTCCCATCATACATTCGAGAAGGTTACAGAAATTTCATCTGATACAGCCATCATATATATATTTAATTGTTTTATTACTATCATGATTCATGTGAGCTTCGTAACAATATTAAACAAATGCAAGTTGATATGCAAGTTGCCCGGAACCAAAACCAAGATGCTGACTTAGTAGTCACATTCCGAGAGTATTGACTGCATGCACTACGGTGCCATGTCCCGCTAGTTGCTCGCCAACACATGCATGCTTCTCGTTGCATTCTTCACCTACAATTGTTATTGCTGTTTTCCGCATTAATCACTACAACAAAAGAGGTATACAGAGGCGGTTCACAGGTCATTTCACGACGGTTAAAACCGCCTCCAAATGCGTGTTTCGGCTGTTAACCAACCGTCGTTGTTACTACCGTCGAGAGGCAATTCAACGACGGTTTAGCTGAACCGCTGGAATAACCGTCGACTGGGAAAAACACGACGGTTCATAAGGCGGTCATCAGAATCCCAAGGCGGTTTATAACCGTCGTGGAATAAGAATACCAAGGCGGTTTGTAACCGTCGCGGAATAAGCATTCTAAGGCTGTGCCTAACCGTCGTTGAATAACAATAACAAGGCGGTGGAATTCTGTCTTGGAATAAGAACTCCAAGTCTGTTTGGTAAACCGTCGCGGAATTAGAATTCCAAGGCTGCGAGGAAACCGTCGTGGAATAACAATTCAAAGGCGATTTCTAACAGGCGTGGAATAACAATTCAAATGCCTAATATTTGTAGTGGTAGATATACGAAGGCGGTTTTTAACCGTCGTGGAATAACAAATAAAATTTAATATATTTTATATTTAATCAATTCTATAATAAAATAATACATTATTTTTTTGGTAAATAATGAAATATTTACTGATACAAAACGTTGTCAAATAAATATATGAATAATTTATTTTCAAGAATTTAAACATTAAATATCATTTAAGCTGATAAATTAAAATTTTAAAATTAACATTTATTTTTTAGATACAATTTGATATATATATATATATATATATATATATATATATATATATATATATATTTTAGGAATGGCAATATATGTTTAATTACTAAAAATGGCAAATTTGATTAAAAGTCAATCTTTTATAATCCAATATAATAATTATATAAATAAATTAAAAATTCAAGGCTTTTCATCCATAATTAAAGTTAGAACAGTAATCACCATTTGCACTAAATTCTAATAATTTAAAACATCAAATGGAAAATGTAATTGTTGGTTAAAGTAGCATTGTCCTAACACCAAAAAATCACCCTGACATTGTGATATACACCAAAATACAAAAGTTATCCATCCAAAAGTAATCACCAACAGCTATACATCAAAAAGTAATCACCAAAAGCTATCCATCAAAATGTAATCACCCTGATATTGTTCTGGAAAACAAAAAATATATATATAAAAAGGAGAACTATGGAGGAGATGGGTGTCCTTGAAGTTCAGGTCCTTGGGCATTTGGTACATGACTAGCAGAAGAGGATGGCCTGAATCCATTGGGAGAGCCCAAATTTTGAGGCTGCAAAAAAAAAAAATAGCTCAAATATAAGTCTCAATCATATTGGGTACTGAAAAATAATTTAAAAGCCTTTACTTAAAAAATTGTTTTTGTCCAATTAATAAGTGTCTCGAAGAACCATAACTACTAAGATTTATACATTATTATACCAACCAAAACTATTATCCAAAGAAAAACTGTTCAACCTTGTACCACATGGAAAATTTGTAATTATCAAATATGTTATATCAGAAAATATGCAGCAGACATATCACAGTGAAACTAGAGATCTACGTTCGTACAGTTTGAATATGAGCAATTGTAGACATGTGATGGAATTCCAACTTTATAGTTTCAATATAACAATATAACAATATATTGAGAGACTAATAATCAAGTTCCTTAAATCCGTTAAATTTGACAAATTATTCTGCCCTTGCAGTCATATTATACAATTTAAAATACATGACTAAAACAAGTTCCAATCATCATCTCAAACAGAAAACATAAGAAAATTTTGGTAAATGTATTATATACCTGTTGCAATCCATTTGATGCAAAACCAGGGGGCATTTGACCCCCAAAGCTACGTACCACAAAAGCCAATGCTTCCTCCAAAGATTGAACTTTAGATTTCAACTCTCTAATTTCATTGTCTCTAGATGTTGAGGAAGATGCCCCAGAACTACAATGACGTTTAAAAATTTGGGAAGGGCAGACCCCAAATCCCATACCCCGTACACGTCCAGGGTGCTCCTTCCCAAACACCTGAACATAAGCATCTTCTTCGGATAAAGTTCCATCATTTTGTGCAGATAATAACAAATCCTACAAAATTTGATCCAACAACCAATTTAAAAACATTAACATTGTCATATAGGAATACAAGTAAACAACTATATTCCACTTACATTTTTCTCCATAGCCTCTTCATTCACAAATGTACCATCTTTTTTCAGATGTGAATAGCCATACATTTCCGCTCTACTGATAGGCTTACCTTTTTCAATTTCCTAAAACAATAAAATAACCAACAAAAATTATTTACCAAGACTCTGTATGATTCAACCAAGTACTAATAGCAATACAGAGTTGGACAGCAACCAAAAATTAAGAACAAAAAAAAATTTACACAATGCCTATCACACAAGATACACCACAAGATGCTCAATCATAACTCCAAAACAAGGCACAAGCAATGCATAAAATTAATTTTTGCAGAACATCAAGAATAGGCCCAAAAATTGGGAACCAGAATCACCAATTGCATCTCTATCAAAAAATAACAAGTTATCTATTAAAGGTATACCATAGAAACTACTACAATTCATCAAATGCAGATTACCATGTTCCTTAACCAAACTTGAGGGTCATCCATCATTTAAACAAACCATACACATAAAGTTCTGTAATCGAAACCAAGTAGAAAAATAATGGATGCAAATCACTGTACTTAATGAGTTATATAACCAAAAAAGGTATTTTTACTTAACAAGAACCACAGAATCACATAATCATACAAAATAAAAATCTGTACCAGCTCTCTTTTTCTTCTTGCAATAGACTTTGAGCCTAAAGTGTGTGGAATTGTTAGCTTTTCCCTGTTGGCAGTATTCTTTTCAGCAATTTCCTACATTAAACATAAAATAATTAAGTACCCTAGAATGGTAACAAGTTCAACACAATCGGCGTTCCTCTTCATTTATCTTTCTCTTGTCCTAATTTTCTTTCCTATCATGTTCTAGCTAGATGCAATTATTCTATACCTGTGTTGATTGATTCCACCAAAAAAGATGACATGTATAAAAATGAAAAATACTATGAAAATGTATAAAAAAACAACCCCAGAATGATTACCATAATGATGACATGTATAAAAATGAAAAATGTTATTACCATTGTTCTTTTCTCGAATCTGTACTTCAAAAAAGAAGCCCACTGTTCTCTTGGAATTCCCATTGGGCATCTCTCAATACTTTCCTCGAAGGACATATCAGAATTCTTAAACATGTGCCACAGCCTTGATCTGTTGTCCTTCCATTTCTTTCCGAGGTCCATCATTATCCACTTTTTATGATCTCCATCGTTGACATCAAACTTAGCCTTAAAAATGAAAATATGAGGAATCAACGACACACCAACAAGATAGCATATATTTATAAATAAAACCACAAACTTGAGGAAAATACCATACTTTGAGAAGGTTTTCCCAGACAAGCTCTTTGTGAAAGCTTGGAACATGTGGCCATTTCAGATAGATGATTGGGAAGTTATGACAATCAGCAGCAATTGAACCTGAATATACACCATACAAGCCACCAGATTCTTGAATTGGTTGGCCATTGTCATTCCATTCTAATATGACCTTATGATTGTCAGGAAGCACAAGCAAATCCTGAATACGCAAGTGACGCTCCCTTTTTACTCCGTTATCATCTAAGCAGTTATGTCAACATCAATGTAAGAATAAAAAAATATGGACTGATTAATAAATAAGTGGATTAGAGTTTAATTACCTATGACATCAACGGTCCAATATTTGGGGGATTTTTTCTTAACAGCAGATTGGGAACTTGCATTAGGTATTTCATGTGGTTCATTTGTTGGTTCCACCATATCAATTTCTTCATCAGTTAAAGGTGATTGATTACCAATAAAATTAGATGGGCTTTCATTCAGTAAAGGAGCACTTTGGGCTGTTAAACCAGCTGCATTAGGCACTGGAGAAGATGCAGGGATATCGGATGGTGTCGATTGAACCCTCATAGAGTATCGTGGTTTTCGAGCCATTCCTACAAATCCAATTTAAAAATAGTTAGCAAAGATCCTCGTATGTAAAAAAAAAATTATAAGTCTTGCAAAAAACAACCTTATGAAAAAGATTAGCGGGTGCAAAATCATCATGTGTATTAAAAATAGTAAACAATGTGCAAAAAATAGGGTGTATTCCATGAACTAAAAATTAAAAGTAACAATACAAGTTTGGCACCTCTCAAACAACATAAGAAGTATGTATTACATGAGCTATTACATTTCTTATGTTGACCAAAAAGACTAAAACAAAACATTAAAGCAAACTTGAGTATCCATCATGTAAGAACTTCATCATTGTCATCTTCATTATTTGTAAAACTAGGAGGCTCATCATCAGCATCTGGTCTTGCCAATTGCATATGCATAGCATCATCAAAAAAAATATCTTCCAAGTTCTGTGATGGAAATGACTCTATGGAAGGCATAAGTTCTTCATCTTCACCCATGTCATATAAGTCTCTTGGCTTCAAATGAACAGGTATACTCCAACCCTTTTCTATTTCATCATCCACATAATAAACCATTTGTGCCTCTGAGGCTTTGATATATGGCTCATCATCTTCATGTTCACCAGTATGTATTAGTCTATTGAAATTAATTGAAGTAAATCCCAACTTATCTTTTTTAATGCCTCTAGGATTAGTGGTATTAGCCCACTGACATTTGAACAAAGGAACCGTGAATAAACCACAATAGTTTATCTCTATAATGTCTACCAGTTTTCCATAATATAAGACATCCCCAAACCTCATTTGAGGATCATTATTACTAGAATAACTTCTAGTGCCAAACGAACCATATACCCCACTATTCTGAGTTTTCAAGCCATCATCACGTGCCAAGGTTCGAAATTTGAACCCGTTAACATTATATGCATTGAATCTTCTAGCTTGGACAATGGGACCCTGACCAAGAGAAAGCATGAAAGCTTTATCACTTTCATTCAAGTTTTCCACTTCTCTAACAATCTACAAATAAGATCTCAATAGTATTATTAGTCATTCCATAGACATATAACATTGATGGTAACTACTCATGCAAAACATGAGACAATGTCTCACCCGTTTGGAGAACCATGTAACAAACTCTCTGTGAACTATTTTGTCAACTTCAGCTTGACTCCTTGTTCGATGTCTAATGCGTCTCCGCACCTCCACTCTAAAATCCCTACATATGATTAACATATTAGGCATACAACGTGAAGATGAAATTTTTATTGGTAAATGTATAAGTGTTACTCACTTGAGATAACGATCAACTGCCGGGCAATTGATTAGGACATGTCTATGAGCTTGTAATCTTTCTGTCAGTGTAAGATTGAAATATGAAGAACCACCAAGTGGATTTCCAACTTGGAGGAAAAATTCCTTAACACGTGGGTTAGGTTGTTCTTCATTACATGCATCATCAACACGACCCGGTCGATTAAATCTAGTCTCAATATCATCAAGATATCGAGAACAAAATGTAAGAATTTCTTGCATTAAGTAACCTTCTGCAATGGATCCTTCAGGTCGTGACTTGTTTCGTACATACGACTTCAATTGTCCCAAGTACCTCTCGATAGGATACATCCACCGATAATGGACTGGACCTCCTAGCTTAACTTCATCAACAAGGTGAACAATCAAATGAACCATGATTGTGAAGAACGAAGGGGGAAATAACATTTCCATGTGGCATAAAGTCAAAACAATGTCATGTTGCAATCTTTCTAAACTTGTGACGTTCAACACCTTACTACATATTTGTTTAAAGAAAGAGCATAATTCAATTAAAATCTTGGACACCTGTTCAGGCAATGCTACCCTCATAGCCAATGGTAGAAGTTGTTGCATCAATACATGGCAATCATGACTTTTTAACATTCCATTCACTCGAAGAGTGTCTACATCAATACACCTAGAAATGTTGCTTGAATAACCATCTGGCACTGAAATGTTCTTTAAAGTACTAAGGAATGCCTTCTTGCCTTTATTATTCATTGTGTAGATTGCTAAAGGATATTTCCCGTTCTCACCTGGCCAAAGGTCTGACTTACACTTCCATTCTTTCAAGTCTTTTCGAGCATTTAGGTGATCTTTAGACTTTGCACTATCACCTAACAAGGTGTATAAAATATTATCAAACACATTCTTCTCAATATGCATCACATCAAGATTGTGATGCAGTAAGTTGGACTCCCAGTAAGGAAGATCAAAAAATATGCTTTTCTTTTTCCATTGTTTAACACCTGCATTGCCACGTACCCTCTTCCCCTTTCCTCTAACATCTTGACTACGACCAAAAGTGACATCAACATTCTGAACTTGATCAAGAACATCAAAACCAGAAATTATCTTGGGTGGATGACGAAGCTCCTGTTGTCCATTAAAACGAATCCTGTTCAGTCTAAACCTATGTCTTTGATCAAGAAAACGTCGATGACCCATAAAACACCATTTCCTACTATAGGGAAGGCGACAAGGAATACTATCAAAGTTGCATGTTGGACAAGCAAGTCCAGTGTAGGTGTTCCATCCAGACAATGTTCCAAGACCAGGAAAGTCACTAATAGTCCACAACAAGGCTGCATGCAACTTGAACATTTCCCGCTTAACAGAATCATATGCATCCACACCATCATGCCATAACTCCTTCAACTCTTTAATTAAGGGTTGTAGATAAACATCAATATCATTCCCCGGCATTTGTTTACCAGGGATGATTGTTGAAATTATAAAGGATGTAGACTTCATGCATACCCACGGAGGGGTATTATAAGGAACTAAGACAATCGGCCAAATGCTATAACTAGAACTCATGTTACCAAAGGGATTAAAACCATCAGTAGCTAATCCAAGTCGCACATTGCGTGGGTCTAATGCAAATGAGGTGTTTATTGAATCAAACTTCTTCCAAGCTTCAGAATCCCGAGGATGCCTCATCATGCCATCGTTGTTATTTACCATAGCATGCCATCTCATATCATTCGCTGTCTTCGAGGACAAAAACAATCTTTGTAATCTCGGTTTCAATGGGAAGTATCGAACAACTTTAGCTGGCACCTTCTTCTTATTGCGGCCATCATCGGATCTTAAAATATCATCACCTTTATTCTTTGTCTTCCATCTGGAGCTGTGACAAACTTTGCACGTCTGCATATTTTCATCATTGACACCCCAATACAACATACAATTTTTTGAGCATGCATCTATCTTTTGATAGTCCAAACCTAACTTGGTGATAGTCTTCTTTGCCTCATAGAATGATTTTGGAATTTTTGCATGGTCAAATGCATCTTGTAATAGCTCCAATACCATTGTCATAGCCTTGTCTGTCATCCCACAAAGGCATTTAATGTGATACAACTTCACTATAAAAGAAAGCTTTGAATATTTTGTACACCCTTCATATAATGGTTGTTCTCCATCTTTAGCTAGTTCAAAAAACTCTTTAGCTTCATTTGTTGTTGATTGTCCCCCTTGGGCAATATCTTCATTACATTCAAGGTTATGCTCATTTACGTTGTGCATATCAACTCCAAATGCATCATTGATCATGTTCTGCATTGGATCTTCATCAACCATAATTTCATGGGTGTCATTGGCATTAAATGCAGTAGTAACATTACTAGCCTCTCCCATGTTTGTCTCCCCATGATGGAACCAAAAAGTGTAACCTTTTGGGAATTGTCTGCAAATTAGGTGATCATACACAACATCTCTTTTCTGCCATTTTCTAAACCCACATACTGGACAAGGGCATAATATTTCACCTTCAATTCCACGATTTTGTGATGCAAAATCAATAAAAGCCCGAACACCTTGTTCATATGCAGGTGAATTACGTGGCTGCATAATCCAAGACTTATCCATTGCTTTGTAATGTTTCTATAAAAATTAAGATTCAAGTCAATTCAAATTGATTGGGAGTTTGTAATTTCAGATAAAGAGAGACATGGATCTATCTTTAAGGTTTTGGTTTAATTTAGGGTTAGTGTAAGGGTTTATGGTTAACAATATGGTTGGGGTTAAGGTTGGTTAGGGCTTATATTTTATTTGATTCTTATACCAAAAATATTTTCAATTTAGTCCTTATGCGTGAAATTATTTTCAGTCTAGTAGCATGTTATGTGATGATATTAAAATAACGTTTATTATAACAAGTGAAGTGTAAGACCCAACCGAAAATTAGTACTACTAAAAGTCACTCAATCCATAAAGATGAATCATATCATGGAAAGAGAATTAAAAAACGGTCACAAGGGCGGGTACTCAAAAAAATTCCCATTGGAAAATTAAAAATGGCATAGCCCATAATATATAAAAGTTAAATTGATTCCAATTTAACTGACAAACTTATATATGCAATGCAATTAGTAGATTCCAAACTTACAATATAAACTAGCACACAAGCAATGCAAATTACAAGCGGTGCAAAATATTTTGTTTCTACACAAAAAATAGCATCAAATAACATGCATCAATGAAGTGTGTGTTAGGTTACACGTACCTCCAAAGATGGTATCGAAAGTGAAAGGGACTATACACCAGAATTTCAATAAGGCACTGACAGTTTACAGAAAGAGGCATGAAATAAGACAACATAAAAAGTCAGTGAAGTTAATATAAAGTTAAAATGCACATATAGTAAGGCAGTAAGATTAAAAGGGAGTGAACTCAAAAAAGTTGCAAAAAAAATAATTTAAAAGGACACAAGCCATAATATATACAAACTTAAATTGATTCCAATTTATTTATTAAAAATAGATTTAATAACCAATACAGATCAAGCATGCAAGTCAGTAAATAGTCAAATTTTTTTATCATTTTACCTATTCTCTGATTCTCCATAACTAAACTTGCATATTAATTATACACAGAAATCACTATAACTAAACTTGCATATTAATTATACATAAAACCAACAGGAAGCATATAGGGTTATACATATTGTGAAGATCAACACTTAACAATAAAAATCAATTCCTAATAGCATGCAAAATAAGTGCCAAATTTTGTAGAATAGGCATTTCAATACAAAGCACATTAAATCAAACATTTGCAATTATAAAACATGTTATATAAATCTTTCACTTCACCAATAAGACATGATTACAAGTCAACTATAACCAGTAACACAAGTTGCATATTTGAAGAACAAAATAACAAAGTCAATTAAACCATTTAGTTAGCTCATATTTAAAATAAATTTTAGAGATCTTTTACTTTAGACTAACCAAGTCCCAATCTAACTACGAATGATATTAAGATAGTCATGACATTCATCTCCCCAACATCTCTCTCTTCAACAAAATATAACTTACATTTTCAGGGACCAATTGCACTTTCCAATGAGGAGATTGCTTACAAGTGCACCTATATATTAAGTGGAAAGCTATTAGTATAACCAACCTCAACAAATTCAAATACCATAAATCAATTTAAGCAAATCAAATAGCACAGATTCAAGCACTTGATAAATTTATGGAATGAAGTTAAACTCTTGAAGAAGCAGTCAGTTTTGATGATCAGAGATGCCCAATTCTATTATGTACTAATTTTATAAACAAGTTAAACACCATGATCACTAATTTTATATACTAAGTATCAATATAAATAATATATATTATGTACTCGCTTCTACTACAATTCTATTCTCCAATCCTCCCCTCTGCTACAATTCTCGCTTCTCACGCACAACTCGCTCCTATGGTCCTTACTCCTGTTCAAAAAAAAATTGATAATAAAAAAATTGATATTATCAACCAGTAAAAATCGCTCATTCACAAAAAAAAAACAATAAACCATTAAATCTTGGTGCGTTTATTATTCCAAGTTTTTCTTTTTTCTTAAAAAAAATCTAGCTATGTTAGCTAGTGACCACATTGGACTTCAAAAAAACAGTAACTAAAATTTTTTCGTAAATTGAAACTCATTGCTTGGATTTACTCGTTTGATAGGGGGAAAAACAGAACAACAAAGATTAGAAGGTAGAGGCAGAGATATAAAAATTCAGAAACACAGCCCCTTCGAAAAAAACTAGCATTGTCAAATAATGGCTGAGACCAAATAAGCAAAACCCTAAATCCCCAAAACAAAATCAAAATGAAGATGAGGAAATGAAAATATCAAGAGATGACAAAATTTTTTAAAAAAACTTACCGGCCTTGAGATGACGAGACCAAATAAGCCGTTGAACAACTGATGTTCGAATGAACAAGGAAGGGAAGCGAAAAGGTGATTAAGCGAAAACTGAAAGAGAAAGGGGAAGAACTGATGTTGAAAACGAAAAGGTTTACACTATGAAAGGGGAAGGGAAGCGAAAAGTGAAATAACGCGGGGATGTCCTCCTTGTGGTTTACTGAAATAACGCGGGTAGTGAAAAACCTAATGAATAGGAAGGTGAAAGGAGGGAGGGTTAAAAGAAAATGTGGGAAAGGGAAAAAAGGGTCAGAGGGAATGAGAAAATTTGGGCTTTTGGGTTTGAAAATATAGTGGGATTGAAGAACTATTTGGGAGGGATTATTAAAATTAAAAATTAAATGGGTTTTTTCAGTAATTCATTTATTTAAAATATTAATTATAATTTATTTTATAGAAAAATATTTTTAATTTTAATTGGCACAAGTTGTGTTCATTTAACTCTCATAAGAAGGTGGAACTCATACCTTTATTTTTTTGTCCATTCTCTATCACTTCCATTACTTTTTTTTCTCTCGCTTAAAATGATACACATTTTTTCGTTTATTTTTTTTTTTTTTGATAACATCGTTTATTTTAGTTACATTATTCATTAAGATACCTTTTATTTATGAAGTATACTAAAAATTATATTTTTTTAATTTAAATATTGAAACACCAACTAAGTCAAACAGATAAAAGAATCTTAACGTCTCTTGTGGTCGTCGTCATCAATGCTACACATAAAAGAGTTTATTTGGAAATTGCATCTTCAGATTATTGGTTTCCCAAAATCATTGGAACTATTTCCCAAACACATAAGATAAAACGCATGCTTTCATCCTTACTCAAAAGCTTCAAGGATGGATGAACCTTGATATCACGCAAGAATAACTGATCTTTAAATAACATTTGAAAACCAATTAAAACCACGTTAACTTCCCACGTTGATATTAAATTTGAAAACTAATTCAAATAACAACCTTACAATTAAGTTAGGTCAATACACTTACATTTTATGCTTTGCTAAAACGTGACATCTTCAAATATTTAGGAGGGATTATTAAAATTAAAAATAAACTAGGATTTTTACAGTAATTCATTTATTTTAAATATTAACCATAATTTATTTTACGAAATAAATATTTGTCCTTTTTTGTACATAAATATTTGTCGTTTCAAATTGACACAAGTTGTGCTCATTTCACTTTCACAAAAAGATGGACCCATACTTTTATTTTATTTTATTTTTTTCCATTCTCTCTCTCTCATGACCTATTTTTTTCTCTCACTTAATACACATTTTCTCATTAAGCGAATGGTACGAAATAAATTTGATTGACTTTCCACTCAAAATTACTATGTTATTAAATATTCAGTTTGATCTCCAAATTATACTCTATTAATATAACTTTTCATTATTCCAATTGTACCGGCCTCCATATTAGGGTATGTATAGAAATTATGTAACCATCATTCAATTTCGGTGCTTTAAGTCTAAATTATAGCAAGGAGATTTCAGAGAAGAGATACTCAACAAAATTATATGGTTGAACCAATTTTATGAAAATGCGACTTATTATTGACTCGGTTTCGGTAGTAGATAAGTGGTTCACTAGTCCAATTGGAAGTGTCACTAGTTGAAAAGCTTGATTTAAATAACACGTAAAAGTATGTAATATATATGGGGTAGAATCATGTGACACTGGTTTCAAACTTTAAAATTAGACACTAAATCCTAACTATTGATTTTCGTCAATCAACGATTATCATTAATTATGAATCCAATTCATTAATTAAAAATCAATTCCTAATAAATGATAATCGTTCATTGGTAGAAGTCAACTGTTATAATTTGGTGTTAAATTTCAAAGTTTGACACCGATATCAAAGGATCCTATACACATATATATCTTAATAATAATAACAAAATAGCACGAAGAATTCAATGACATAGTGGTTGTTGTCATTTAATTTGTCCAAGGTGTAATGTGTTCAAATCCTGTTGGCTGTCATTATGCTTAATTTTTTTTCACATTTAACCGAACCGTCGTGGAATGTTATATTCTGAGTTGGTTAGCCCAACCGACGTGAAATTGTATATTCAGGGTCAGTTTCAACCGACGTGAAATGATATATTTGGAGGCGGTTACAAACCGTCGTTGATATCCGTCGTAGAATTGTTATATTTAACGACCGTTGGTTAGGGCGTCGTACTAACAGTCGTGATATCATATTTTGCGACGGTTTACAGTCAACCGTCGTTGAAATTCAGTCGCGAAATACACCTTTTCTTGTAGTGAATGTACTATTTTGTTTACGCTTTTTGTTAGTGTATATATATATATATATATATATATGATCCTCAGATTATGTGAACCTTTTGTAATATTATATTGTCACTTGAATTGTTTGGTAAATTTATGTCTGTTATAAGATTTAGAATAATTATTACCTTACTTGATTCAGTATTTAGTCAAAGAAGCTATTCGTTCCAAGGAAAAAAATTAGAATCGGGGAATAAAATAAAACTAAAATAAATAATTTTTCAAGAGAAAATGATATAATTGATGTATTCAATTATTAAATGATATTCATGTTATTTTAAGTCAGTGTGGTAACCAAAACCAATCTTTTCAGACCAGCTGGGAACCCCACACCACACACCCATATGATATCACCACATCACATCACATCATCATGCAATGCCTTTGTAACTTCCAGAATTTTCCGAACCAAGTGACCATCCACTTTCTCTATATCATCCAATTGCTATCCAATGAAGGGGCTAATTAAATCAAATAAATATTACTCCCAAGATATCTAGAACATTCTAATCAATCATTGCTCTTCAATAAACTCCACTATTTTCTTCTGTATAATCCCTCAAACCATTCACTCTATATAATCACTTCATAGTTGTGGATAGGGAAAATAAACAATTCTTTTTAACGGCATAAACGACTTTCCTTCCCAACAAAGAAGAAAACAGAGTCATCTGTATTTTTATCTGACAAACAAAATCCTAACCTTCACTGTTTCTTAATGTTTCAATCATCATTACTTACAACCTTCTCTCCAACCTCATTTGGATTATGCTGTTCAAGCTGGGTTTTCAATACTTTTGCAATTTTCTGCTCTCAAATTTGCTTATGTGCAAGTTTCTTCACTGAACAAATAAGGCTGGTATAGAATTATCAATCTGCATAGGAAGAAGCATAAATAACAGAATTCAGATATCAGAACCCACTAAGCTTTACCAGGAGAATTTGAAAATGAATTATATGTACTCAGTGAAAGAAGAATACTTAGAACCACCACCACCACCACCATCATCATCATTTCAATCAGGAGGTGAATTCCCACCAATGATTCCACCACCCCAGCCAATGGTGGGGCTTCATGACATAGGACCCCCTCCATTCCTCACCAAAACTTTTGATGTGGTGGACGACCCAACAACCAATCACGTGGTTTCATGGAGCAGAGGTGGCACCAGCTTTGTGGTTTGGGATCCACATGCCTTCTCCTTAGATCTTTTACCCAGATACTTCAAGCACAACAATTTCTCGAGCTTTGTTAGACAACTAAACACTTATGTAAGTACTATCTTAATTCAATCAATCTCTTTAATTTCTTCTATTTTTCCTTCAACCAGGACTTAATCTGAGTTTCAAAATATTAACGCCTATGTGGTTTAATGTTTTACTTCGGGAGACAAATTAAAGAGACCAATTATATTTTTCCTTTGAATGATACTCTTTTTTGTTCCTTCGTGACTGAAAGGTCATGGGTTCGAATTCAGGAAACAGTCTCTTTGCAATTATGCAAGAGTAAGGCTGCGTAAGAGGATTTCCTCCGCTCCATACTCGTTAGTCGGGTTTAACTGAGAGTGGTTTTTTTATACTCCTTTTTGTTCTCGCTTTTGTTGTTTTTCATTTTCTAATTTTTCTCTGGTCGAAGTTACTAGTTTCTTTTACTTATATTTTTCAATGAAATAATTGTCTAGCAATGTTTTAATGAAGAATTATGCCATTGTTATTCCAATTCTAACTTATTCTCAATTTGTCTAATTCTTGGTTCTTCATATTGATTGTGGTATTCGATTTTACAGGGTTTTAGAAAAATTGATCCAGATAGATGGGAGTTTGCAAATGAAGGGTTCCTCAAAGGGCACAGGCACCTATTGAGGAACATAAGGAGAAGGAAAGCACCTTCCCAGCCTAACCCTTCCCAACAAGTACAAAATCACTGTGTTCAAGTTGGCCGTTTAGGACTTGATGAAGAGATTGATCGTTTGAGGCACGACAAGCGGTTGTTAATGTTGGAGCTTGTGAATCTTAAACAGAAGCAACAGAATACCAGAATGTGCCTTGAAGAGATGGAGCAAAGGTTACAAGGGACAGAAATCAAGCAGCAACAAATGATGGCATTCTTAGCTAGAGCTATGAAAAACCCTGCCTTTGTTCAGCAACTACTCCAACAGAAAGAGAAGAGAGAGGAGCTTGAAGAAGCCATGACCAAAAAGAGGAGAAGGCAAATTGAGCTAGGAGGTATTGGAGAATCAAGCAGGGGTGGTGAAGGAAGGAGCACCGTTAAAGTTGAGCCCTTAGAATTTTGGGATTGTGAGTTTGGAGTGTCAGAGTTGGAAGTGCTAGCTATGGAAATGCAGGGTTTTGGAAGGGGGAGTAGAGAGGAGGAGGAAGGACTGGAGGTACTAGAACCACAAGAGAGGCTGGACAGAGAACTTGATGAAGAGTTCTGGGAAGAATTACTGTTTAGTGAGAAATTTGAGGGTCAATTTGACATTGACATTCCAACTACTGAAAATGAAGATGAATATGAAGATATCAATGTATTGGACAATGGCTTTGGCTGCTTGCATTCAAGTCATTAAGTGAACCACTGAAACCACTGAATCAAGATTTATTAACCCTTTTTCATTCAGTTCACCAGGTTCCAGTCCGGTCAAATCAATATTTACTCCAAAGGTGGCATCGTATGGTGGAGTCATCCTAATTGGCAAGACAGTAAATTTACAAGCAGAATGGAATTGATTTACTTTAAAGTGTTTCTAACTTTATTAAATGTCCTTGTTGTAGCACTTGGTAAAACCCTGAATTCTCACTTTTCTTGATGTTTGATGAGGTAGGTTGCTGCTGGTTCTTGGACAAGAATATTTGGTAGTGATAGCTGGTCATTATTTATCTCAAGGTTCAGTATTTTTTACCCCCTCAAACCCCATGTATGTATCAACCAGATATGTCATTCCCTGTTGTAATTTTTTATTTTATTTTTATTACCTTAATGAATGTAGATTATTCAGAAGATGTAGAGTGCAGAGAAGTAGCTCATCTCCAACAATCATTACTGAATGTTGCTTATCAAAAGCCAGTTGGTGGTTAACGTTGTCGGTTTGATTTTTTCTCCCTCCTAATTTTTTTTAGTGTTTTGTCCTTTGCAATTGTGGTCAGAAATAAAATGAGGCCACGGTCCATTACTTTGATGGATATGATGTTACTTCTGTACCATGTAATTAGGTTTCATCACATGTTCATGATCCGTTCTCATCAAAAGAATCATTTTTCGGGCTCTCAAGATGAGACGTGTCACTGTCTAGAGCGTGATCACATTAAGAGAGTGATCTTTTTCTTTTTCTTTTTCTTTTTGAAAATGAAGGAAAGAAACCAAACCAGATTACACATTCTTGGGCTAGAGTTGCCCATCAAGTCCCATCACACCGCTGGGTTGCATAAGTAGACTTATCTGAATATATATAATTCTGTTAGTGATTCCGAGAATGCAGATGTTTGTGGCAGCTTTTGCTATTTATTTGAATAGTTAACATGCCTAATTTTTTTGTAGTGATGCTTGATGCCATTCTCAATCATTCGTAAAGTAGAAGATTCAGTTGAACAACATGAAGTGGTTGGGGGTCATTGTTTCGCGCTGAGCCACTGATCATTTACAGATGTTGAGATATATAAAATAACCATTAATATAGTTTCACTCCACAGCTTAAGCTTTTGGGTTGAATTGGTTCTTTACAACATATTATTCTAGTCTTTATTTCAAAGGAGGAACTAGGATAAGGAGTGGAGCAAAACGTGGCTAGCTAATTCTATTATGTTTGGAAGTTTTGGAGAGCATTGGAGGGACAAGGGTCTCAGATCAGGGGTGTGCAAAAAAACTGGTTCACTTGCCCTGCCCTTGATCTGACCTTGACCCGACCCATAAATACTCATATTTTTTGAACTGGTTTAAATACTGATCCATTTTTATTTGGGTCAGTTTTAGACCTGACTCGTTTTAATATTGACCCACTGACCCAAAACTTGACCCATACCCATTATGTGAAAAAAAAATCACAATTACGTCAAAATTTTTGACGAAAAATATTTTCATCAAAATTTGTGACTAAAAACATATCGGTAAAAATATTTGACGGAATATTTTTTTTGTCAAATTTTTTTACGGAATCTAAATTTCGTCAAAATATTTCATAAAAAAATATATTCATCAAAACTTTCGACGAAACACATTATCATCGATATTCTTTGACGGAAAAAAATTTCATCAAAATTCTTTACAGATTTCAAATTTCGGCGAAAGTTTTCGACGGAAACATTTTCGTTAAACTTTTTGACAAAAAAAAATTTCGTCGAAATTTTTAGCGAAGCACATTTCTATCAAAAAATTTCGACCAAAAATTTTCGTCAAGTTTTTTGATAAAGAATATATCCATCAAAATTTTCAACGGAACACATTTCTGTAAAAAAAATTCGTAAATGTTTTTGACAAAAATATTTCGATAAGAAATTTTGACAGAAAAAATATTTTCTCTAAATTCTTTAGAGAATCTAAATTTCGTCGAAAGTTTCAAATAAAATATTTTCCTCAAAACAATTTCCATTGAAAATTTCGACGAAACACATTTCCATCAAAAAATTTCGACGGCAAAAAATTTCATTAAAATTCTTTACATATTTCAAATTTTGGCGAAAGTTTTCGACGAAAATATTTTCGTCATCAAAAATTTTGACGGCAAAAAATTTGATCAAAATTCTTTACAGATTTCATATTTTGGTGAAAGATTTCGACGGAAACATTTTCGTCATCAAAAAATATCGTCGGCAAAAAATTTCATCAAAATTCTTTACATATTTCAAATTTCGGCGAAAGTTTTCGACGAAAATATTTTCGTCATCAAAAATTTTGACGACAAAAAATTTCATCAAAATTCTTTACAGATTTCAAATTTTGGCGAAAGTTTTCGACGGAAACATTTTCGTCATCAAAAAATTTTGACGACAAAAAATTTCGACGGTAAAAAAATTCATCAAAATTCTTTTCAGATTTCAAATTTCGGCAAAAGTTTTCGACGAAAAAATTTTCGTTAAATTTTTTGACAAAAAAACATTTTCGTCGAAATTTTTAGCGAAACACATTTCCATCGAAAATTTTCAACTAAATATTTTCGTCAAGTTTTTTGATAAAAAATTTCCATCAAAATTTTCAACGAAACACATTTCTATAAAAATATTCCGTAAATTTTTTTGACAAAAAAAACATTTTGACGAAAAAATTATTCTGTCAAAATTCTTTAGAGAATCTAAATTTCGTCGAAAGTTTCAAATGAAACATTTCCCTCGAAATAATTTCCGTCAAAATTTTCGTCAGAACACATTCTCATCGAAATTTTGAACGAAAAACATTCCGTCAAATTTTTTGACAAAATTCTTTTTTCGTTTAAAACATTTGATGGAAGAAATCATTTTCGTCAAAACTTGTGACGAAATTTTCGTCTTTTGCAACCTAAAAATTTCGACAAAATTTTGTGAGAAAACCAAGTAAAAAACGGGTCAGGTTAGATTTGACCCAGTTCAGAACCAAGTCAGACCCACTTCAGAAACCAAGTCAGGTCAGATCCAAACTGGTTCTGAACTAGTTCAACAAAATCCAATCTAAATCGGACCTGACTTGGATCAAATTAAAGCGGGTCGGGTCAAAATACCTAACCTATAAAAATCAAGTTGGGTCGAGTCGGACAAAAACCTGACCCGACCTGACCCATGCACAACCCTATCTCAGATACCCTGCTGATGTTTTATTTGAATAACTTTTCCCCCTTTTTCTTTCTTAATTTCTTCCCATATAAGAATTTTTGGAAGGTTTAACTAGTACTGGTTTAGGACTGTAAAAGGGGTCACGAGACGGGTCTTCAACTTCATAGGCACGGATACAAACAATGTTCTGAATTCTGGGTCCTAATGACAGAACTACTAATTGTGATCAGCATTATGAAATTACAAAATGTTATTATATATCATAGAAACCAACTCTTCAAAACTATGATGTTTTCAAAAACATATGTCTCCCCAGTAGAAAAATACTAATCCTAGGACGTGGATAGTTTTTTAGCCTCATGCAAACGATCCCTTAATCCACATGCTATTTTGTAGAGAAAGCAACTTTGCAACAGAAAATTTATACAAGTTAGCTACTATACCATGACAGAAGAAAATCTCATGTTTATATTGATCATCTTTACTCTCTTGTTTGGAAAGGGATACTGATAGTGATTAGAATGCTTGTAAAAGAGGGACACACCCCCTCCTTTTGTTAACTTCGAAATTTGGTTTTGATACTGAGTCTGTGGGTTTGTTCAGTGCTTTGTAAGTGATTGTGTTCTAGTAACTCATCTTTGGTGTTTGCTTGATCTGTTTCGTTAGGATTTAATTTGAGTCGGCTAGCATTAAGCTACAAAAAAAAAAAAAAAAAATCACGAGACTTTAAATTGCTCATGATTGGCTAATTGATGACGTAATTAAATCAATATGAGCCGGTAGAAACAATTTCGTTACTGTCTCCATAAGGCAGGATTATCTAAAACAGAGATTAGTATAATAATCTACTCAATTTATTATTATAGTTATGACTTATGATAACTTTTGTTGCTTTGACTAAGCAATGCATTTTATTAAAAAAATAAAATATATTAACGAAAGTTTGGGAGAGAAAAAAGTTCTCTATTCTAAAATATCTCCACGCTCTCAACAATATAAAGGTTATGTTAAAAATGTGGATGATTTATTAATGATTGACGAAAGAACACTAGCAAGAAGTAAATCTAACCTTATTTTCGATTTAATTAAAAGTTATATGTCAACAGCTACTGGATCAATGAAATATGGTCTTTAATTAATCTATTATTAATCCCGTGGGATTCCATCGCACTTTAATGTCCCAACACTCTGCTACAACATAGATTTCACCACGGCAAGGGGAAAAAAGAAAGACAGCATCGGATTATATTACATATGAAATAGGATAATGTTTTCCGTGATATATGTAATTAATCAATGTTTTAAAAACTTAATCGAAAATCGGCCAGACTTTGGGGTTATATATTCATAAAACGTTGTAGGTTAAACCTGCAGCATGGGATTCAATGTCTACACCTATTTCTAACTGACGAGCTGCCGCAAATTAATGTATGAAACAGACGGAGCAACGGTTCTTAGTGCTAAAAAAACTACGAAGAAAAACCGAGAAATATCAGCCATCATTGATAGCGCATTTGACAAAACTAATTTCTCAAAATGAAGTGAAATTATAAGATTTTGAGGAAAAATGTTTTTCTCAGCAAATAATGATTCAGAGGCACTTCTAAAACACCCTATGTCAAATCATGAATTGTATCCGGAATTGTTTGTTCAATTTTTTAAACCCACAATAAAAAAAAATTAAAACATTAAGAGAATACTCAACAGTCTCAAATAATACTTAAATTTCACATATCACTAAGAAAACAGTAAATTTTAATGAAACCATAATGTCATCATAACCCAAAAGGCATAACCAAACACGTCATAATTTTTAAGATATCTTACTAAATGGCAGTTAATTCTAAATACTCTACCTCACATTGTTTATAGAAATAGGAAAATAATTATATTTGGCGCGTAATTTATTGTAGAGAAAATGCTGCATTGTTCTCTTGTAATATTTTTTTCCTTATTTTTTTCTTAGTCTAAAAAATTACCTAAAGTGGTTACATGAAGCCTATATTTTATAAAAATGATAATGGAGAAATAGTATAATTAAATAAGATGCATATAAAGAGTGAGCAAATATGCAAAACATCTGTTTAAAAATAAAATAAAAGCTGAACAATGGAATAACCAAATAAGATGAATAGGTGAGTTGATTACTCAGTGAAGCACCCTGTTTTAAAGAATAAAAAAAATAACAATCAAATACCACAAGCCCAGCAGATTTTTTCCATTGCCTTTTCAATATAGTTTTTAAAAAATTATTAAAATAATATAATTTAATAACTAATTAGGAATTACAGTTTGATTATGGGTCCCCAAACCTAACACATACACACACATATATATTTTTATTATTATCTTATCTCACTTTTAAGTTTTAACACAAGTGTCACATTTAATTTGTGGGATTGCTTGGTCAACACTGGTTAAGTTATATCAAATTAATAAATACTATTTAAATAATTTTTTTAATTTTTTAATTTTTTTATTAAAACTATATTATATTGGTTAATTTTTCGTGATTCATATAAATACGAGATGACAATGATTTATGTATGTATTGCATAGATTCAAAAGTATCTTCTAAAGGATAACTTCATTCCAAAATCTTAAGGTATTATCTTAGGGCTTTTTTAATGATTTATATTAATTTCTAATACATCCCCTCATACAAAAATATTTTGTTTGAAATGTGGATATTGTACAGTTCTAATTTTTTTGGTTTACCTTATGCGTATTTTAATTCCACTCGAAAGTAACGACGGTGAGGATTGAACTTGTAATCTTGTAGTGAAGTATGTATATGGTAGAGACAATTGTTAGTTTGCCAAATTGTATGAATCGTGCGATTGAAATTACAAATCGTGTAATTCTACCAAGTATCTCAATCAAACTTGCTAATAACTGTTGTGGTAATTTCATCCTGTAAAATTTGCAGAGGTAACTTTTTTCTACAGTATCACAGTCAAGGGTGAGGTTATTGTGCTGATACTTCTACAGAGTTCCAAAACCGTACTAATAGTGCAATTGCAGAGAAGGGACAATTTTATTTAATTTTCAATTAAGAGCTAGAGATCTTTGTTCAATGTTCAGCGAAGTTCTTCCAGATCAGGATTGAATTCTAACTTACTATAATCTCATCATAGTGTTTTATGAATGGTGTTTAATGAATGATGCTTTAAAGCTTTTTTTTTCCACGTACACCAAACTGAGGGAAATTTTTTCAAACTGAGCATAGTATAAAACACAAATACCAAAAAAAAAAAAAAAAAAAAAGGACGTGGACATGTTTATTGAGAATTTTTTAATATGTTTCAAGATCACCGCGATCCTTTCACTCAAAAATTGACATCTGTATTAAATTTTTTTTTTTCTCTTTCTTCTCTTCTCTTTTTTCAATTTTTTCTCTTTTTCTCTCACTTAAGTGGCACTTAATTTTTTGAACTCCCCTGC